CTCCATGTGAAACAAAAAAGTCATAGCAAAGAAGATAGCATCAGGACAAAAGGCCCTAGCTCAGCCCTGTGCCTGCAGTGTTAGTAATTTTTACTTGAGGATCATTTAAAAGAGTATTCAAATATGCTCCCCATCTGCAATCTGAAGTGGTTCAGTCTATTTTGCTTGCCACTAGACTGACTCTGTTTCATTCCAATCTAATTTCTGTTGCATGTATGGGCCAGACCTTTTTATTTATTTATTTATTTAAACAACTTATATGCCGCCCCATTGCATGAGCCTAAACAGACCTAAACTCCACGCAAACACAAGATTGGGTAAGTATGTCATAAAGTGTTGAATGTTCTTAAAACAGCTGGAGGCTGGGAGAGGACAATGAGAAATGGCACATTTGATCAGTTTTCATGTAGTGCTCTTCTTACTGTCAGAGGGGGTAATCCAGCCTGTTCAGAGCACTTCTAAATGCCATTGATTCAATCAGAAGTTTTCAGGGCCTGCTATACTGAGCATGCTTTCTAGGTTGAGCAGAACAGCTTTCCAGGTATACAGTATGCACAGAATCTGTAAGACTACTGATTGTAGGAAGCATTCTTGCATGAAAATATTGAAATGGTTCATACTGTTTACTTCTGACCATCCTTTGCTGAGCTGATCACTCACTAATGGTCTGAAATTATTAATTTCTCAGTCAATGGTTTAACCAAATAGCATTACTTTGCTTTGTAGTCTGGGAGTTGCTCTCCTGTTTTTGGAATGGAGCATGAATTAGAAACAGAATGGCGATATTCTCTAGTGAGTGGAAGGGGGTAGAATAAACAGTTTCAAACTAGTTTGACTTGGGGAGACACAGGTCACTTCCACAAAGAGGCTCAAGCAACCAGAAGGTGTCCTGCTTTTCTCCTTAATAGATTATCTGTGTTAAAGAAATAGTAGTTATGGTTGAGAAATACAGGATTACCCAAGACAGTGATATCTAGACCCTGTGTAAACTTCTGTGAACACAGCAAGTGATGTAGAAGCACTCACAGAGGCAGAAAGCTGTGAGCTAGTTGCAGGAGAAGCCGTTGGGAGCTCAAGGGTACAGCCTGGAATCTGATGCAAGATTAGTGGAAATGCTTTCTCTGACAGGAATATCAGTTTGCCCCCACCTGTGTTCTGCTTGCCTATTTGTAAATAACAACTCTTAGAACTCTTAGAAAAACTCCAAAAGACACTCTCTTGTGTCCAACGGAAACCAAGCCTCACAGCCCTTCCCTGGAACTTCTCACTGCTTGGAAATGGGCGATGCTTAGCAATACATATCAGTGTGGCCTAGTTGCAGCTTTCATGTTGCTGGGTGTGGGAAAACTACATGACCAACCCGTCTCCCATGGTTTGTCAACTACTGCAGTGTGGAGACCTGGCCACCCAGAAATACTTCCATGGAACTCAACATCTCATGGTCTCTTTTACCAATAAATGTTGGCCCAGGTAAAAAGGATTACCCTGCTCATTTTATAGCTCTCTTTATTACAGTGCAGCAAAGTGGAGAAAAATACTTACATCATGGCAGATTTATCAAGAGTGTATATGAGTGTGAGATTGCTCACTGCTTCTCACTGACTGGAACACAGAATTGGGCCCAGATGGTCTAGGAAGCAGTAAACCACAGGGCAAGTTGGCAGGGTGCCTACAGGCAGGTTTCTTTACTTGTATTTTATACTGCTGTTTGCAACAGGAAGAATATGGTATTGAAAGCTTAGCACTGTACCCTTTTGTTCCACAGCTTTGAGGAACACCATGTGCTTTTAATTCCAATTCATTTAGGGAGCCCAAGGAATGGTTGCTCTGGAGTCCCCTCATTTAGGATAATGCATAGTCCTCCTTCTGAAATTATAGACTTATGCAGTTGTCAGGACAAATCTAGAGATGCTGCATTGGCCCATTTTAATCTATTTTTCTTGCGCACTCCATGGCATGTCCTTTTGCTCTTCATTTGGATTTTTAAATATAAAAATGCAAAAGATTGTTATCTCATGAAAGAAGAAACAGCTTTATAATGATTTCCTCTGATTGCCAGAAGTGCTTTTGTGAACAATTTGCACCATTCTAACCACATACCTGTGTTCAGGGTTGCACATACAAAAAAGGTACCCATTTTGACTGTAGTAAACTCTCTAAAATCCCTAGCATAGTACCTGTGTTAAGCTTACTAAAAGATCACACACATTTTCTAGATTTTGAGATCTCTTCATCAGATGTTTAAAAAAGCAGGTCTGGCCTGGGTGCATGAGAAAACAACATGACTGGATGCTGAAGTCAGTATCTGTGCATTCAAAGACCCAAGAGGAAATGGTGGAAGAGTATGGCAACACTTATATTTGGCTCAGCAGGTCAGGTGAACTTTGCAAGTTTGGAGCTGGAGCTGTCCCTGAGGTTTCAGGAAACCAGAACTCCAAATCCCCCATGTTGGGAACATAAAACCCAGTTGTATTTCAGGTCTATTTCCATCCTGAGTGAAGTACATGAGCCCTGTTTACTGGTGGAACACAGAGAGAAGCTATGTTGTCTTGATATTAGCCAATTTTGAGAAAGAGGCTGAGCAATTACCCAATAAAAGCCCTGTGAAGCAGGTTAGGCTGAGAGGCCTAATTCAGCAGATTTCATGGGTGTCCCTATCTCACTGCTTCAAGTCTGATTTTATCCTCCATGCAACTCAGTGGGCAGGGGAGCCCACAGGAAACCAGTGCCACATCCATAGAGTTCTTGGCATGTTTTGAGGTTGGCACAAACCTTTATCCACATGGATCTTGGTCTTCTTCTAGAACCATTTTCTTTGATTATCTGGGAAGGCTGACCTCAGAAATTTCTCAGCCCCTTGTCCTGAATCCTGAGTCACAGAAATTATAACAGGGAAACCAGTTGTCTGGATCAATGATCCAGCTTTGGACTGTTGTGGAATTATTTATGGCGCCTATAGCTAATGGTCTCCAGCTATCTGATTTCAGAAGACTTCAACTATCATGCTTTTACTGTGGGATTTGCTACAATAAACTGGTCCTAATGATTTGCGTCTCCTGTGTCAGAATGTCAGCATGTGTGTTTAAAGGGATGGCCCATACCAGAATGGTACAGTCTGTTTCCATTAGTAATTCAGCAACTATTTGGTTTGTCTGGCCTTTTCTCTCAATCAGAAGTTAGATCATTCTGCTTTCCTATAGGACCTGCTCACAACTAATGCTCATGCTACTGGGAACAGTCCTCAATTTTGTGAGTTAGGTTTTAGGAATGGGTGGAAGGAAGCAAAATAGTAATTTATAACCACTCCATATTTGGGGCAAAGCTTTGGAATCCTTACAGTTGGCAAGAACTTTCTTTCCCCAGCCATTGCTCCTCCTTTTGTGCCATATTGATATGCACACCTAGGTGGATGACAGATCGTGGTGGGAGAAGGTGGGCTGTAAAGCAATCAGGCTGAAATGGTCATTAACAGGCAGTTTATTGTGCTCATGTCAAAGATAAAAAAAAACAAATCAGTTAACACATGGACAGAACAGTGTCTGAAAGTTAATATCTGAATTTCACTACACAAGTGCATCATGGCAGTAGTGTTTGCTCCCACCTTCTTCTTGTTCAGCTTTTCAGAGGAACTAGTGAATTAATTGTGCAAGTCAGAAACACATGTTTTGTGCTGGGTCTGCATCTTGAAACAGACTTGCATGCATTTCAAGCTTTCTTAGAGTAGAATGTGGAAAAAGACAAAAAGATGTGGCTGGGCGGTGGCAGTGCTTGTGCTGGTGCTGCTGCTATAAGAGCTTATTCTCTTGCTATGGTGAGGAAGAAGGCAAAAGCATCCTGGACTCGGGTGAACCACTCAAGTTGTACAGAGGACAGGAAATGGATCTCTCAAAAGTGCACACTGGAGTGCTGTGAATGCTTACAAGGAATTTACTCTTAACAGTGTAAAGGCTTGGTTTACAAGGAATTTACTCAAGTATCTAAGCACCAGTGACAGAAAAACAGTGGGATATGCCATACCACACAGCCTTCGGATGATCTGGAAAAGTATTAGAATGCATAGTTTCAGTCCATTCCCTGCCCTCTGCAAAAGCTGGACATCACATTCTGCCTCCAAGTAACACCCCATATAGAGATGAATGAGGCTGGGCTGCTGATTGAAGAGCAAGAGAGGATTTCTGCTGGGGAAACAGTTCAGAGCATGTAGCTCAACTCCAGACCTTTCCCCAGGCACCTGTCTTCTGGGAAGGGAGCTCCATTGGTTCTTTAAACCTCTGCCTTGGCTGTCCACACGGGATCAGCTATGCTCAGCACTCAACTTGGAGGAGGCACTGTCCACCCAGGGGACTTCACACACAACACAAACTGAAGTGGCTTAAATCACATCAATCTCCTCATCATTTGACAGGCTCTCCCCTAAGCATTATTCTTTCCAGCCACTCAATGGTTCAGTCCTCCCTTCATGAGAAGATCTTCCTCTGGATAGAGCTCACTCTTGAGCTTAGTAGGTTGCTCTCTGAAAGAGAGCCTCCCCTTGTCTTTCTCCTTCTGCTTGTCTTCTTAAGCATCCCCTGGGGGGCAGAGTCAGAATCTAAAATGAACTGAGCAGGCAGGACAAGGATGTCATGGGTCATCAAGGAGGCTGCAGGTTTGCTGAAAAATGTGCTTGCCAGTTTCCTGTTCTGCAACAAACTGAGAGGAAAGGCAGTGCTTGGAGTGGGTCATGTGGTGTGTGTGGGGGGGCTTAAGGCCCACTGCCAAGAATATTTAACTCATCTCTTCTGGGTTCAATTTCCTTCCTGCTGTTGTCTATAGTCATGACTGGGAGGGAGAAGCCAGAGTAAAGGCAGTGTTCCTACAGAATGGCAATGGAGCAAGCAACAGTAAGAGGTAACAGCCCCAATTTGGACATGGAGGGCTGATCAGACTACTGGTCTGTGGGAAGTGACATTTAATTGCTTTCACTCTCCCCCAAAGGGAAAGAAAAGCTGTAGATCCCTTGGAAAAGCAGTGGTGGCTACGAACATGGGGCCACTAAAAGACGGCCAGATGTTGGCCAGAAAGAACAGGAAGAAGACCACAGCAGTCAGAAGGCATCCCCACTCAGGTTGTTCCGGGTCTTCTTGCGTTTTGTCTTGGCCGCAGGAGAGAAGTCCAGGGATTCAAGGCGGAAGGGACGCGGCTGGGGCATCTCCACAGCTTGGGCAGGGGGGATGGTTGCCAAGCTGGAAGTCAGCATAGAGGTGTTGTTGTTCAGCAATGGGGGTGAGTTGTGGGCAGCTGCTGAGGGAGGGAGGGAGGGAGGGAGGGAGGGAGGGAGGGAGAGAGGGAGTGAAGGAAGGAAGGAAGGAAGGAAGGAAGGAAGGAAGGAAGGAAGGAAGAAAAATGTTGGGATGCTAAGTCAATTTGCAACCAAATTTTTTCCCCCTGCTCATTCTACATGACCCCTGCACCCCAACAGGGGAAGCCCTTCTGAAAACATTGTAGTTTTTTTAAAATTTTGAAATCATGCCTAATGCATATGAGGTACCTGATATATAATGAATGTGATGATGCCTGAAATAACAGGATGGGTACAGTGATACCTACAAGTGACATAGAAAGTTTGTGCAGTGTGGTGGCAGAGCTGGTCTAAGAACTGTGGTTACCTGAAGCAGAGTGGCAAACCAAGCCAGGTACAGTGTCCCAAAGCCAGCCATGTTATTTTATGATCTCAGGCTGAAACATCACATAAGTGCATCTCTCATGAGAACACTAATAATACATAAAATATTTAAAAATCTGCTGCCCTTTCATAACTTCCCCAAAATAGATCATATTACTTTTTATGATGATGATGATGAAGAGGAGCAGGCAGGACAAGGACAGGAAGAGGAGGAAGTAGTAGTTTGCATAACTCTTTTAGAGAAGAAGCAAAGAACATATGGAGGTATTTACCTAGGCTCTTCATGGGGTCAGCACTGAGAATCTGGCTAGCTCGTTTTGAGCGGAAATAGTTACTGGCAATATTCTCACTGTCACTCTTGCTCAGCATCACCTTATAGCGGTCTTCTTCCTGCTGGGGACAAACACAAGTGGTTACTAGCTTGTAATCATTTACCATTTGTCATCATGATGCTGTCATTCCAATTTTACAGATGAGGGAACTGAAGTTGTGACCATAGTTAAAGTGGAGACCTCAGCCCCACCTTCTCAGGTCCGATGTTACCATCTTAACTGCTGGACTAACACTAGTTCTGTCTCTGGTTTTCCACACTGCTACCCAGGGACAGGAAGGTTACAAAGTTACATGGGTAGAGGGGGGAAATAACCTAAGGACAGTGTCTAAACCAAGTGTCAAAAAGTGGATTAAGTACTGAGGTGGTAAACCTTGCCTAAACTGCATGACAACTGATTGCAGGAGGCAGCTCATGGACTGCCCCTCCATAAGGAAAGACAAGGCTCAGAAACACAAGTCCTGCACGCTTCCTGTGCGTAGAGATATTTGTTTGGTGCAACGCTCAGTCATGGGGACTCCCATTTACAGTTTGAAGTGCTTAACTCCAGGGATGGGATTACCACCTCACAGGGGCAGACCAAGACATTTTGCTGCCTGAGGTGAAGAACAAAATGGCATTATTTCCCACTTCCATGTATGAAGGCCTGACTGATGGAAGAGCTAGCCTTCTAATTCAAAGGGACCAGTAATTGTGTAAAGGCCAGTGACCATACAGCTGGACATCACAAGGGGCAACCCAATCCACAGAAAATAGAGCTACATATGATCATTACTGGAGGAAGTAGACCTGGTAGCTTAGTGGGATTTGGAAGGGATTTGGGAAAAACCTGGCTCTGGGCCCCCTTCAGCCAAGAATGTCACTGGGTGATTTTGGGCCAGTCACTCACTCTTAGCTTAACCTACTTCATAGGGCTGTTGTGAGGATAAAATGGAGAGCGGGTAAAGTAAGTTGCCTTGGCTTCCTTGCAGGAAAAATGGTAGGATATAAATATAATGAATAAACTGGAATACACCAAGACTGTGATAGCTCAGAACAGGTAAGTTGGTTCTAGCTTTCTGCACTGAGTAAGAACTAATTCACACATAGCAATTTTAATGGGGGAAATGCATGACATGGAGCCAGCTGCTTGCTTCCACTGTAACTGCAGCCTTGCTTTGGCTTCTGGAAGGAGGCAGCAGTTATACCCTCTTGGCATCCAACACTGAACAAGAACAACCACAATCAGTTTCCCAACTAAAGCATTTGCCCACTGACCAGGAGATGAAGGTAAGCAAGGATTTCACACTTTCCTCACTGCAAGGGTGAGCTGGCCTCAAGGGGGAGTAAATCCTCCTTAACATGTGCCGTCTCCTAGCTCTTTTGAAGCATAGTTGTAAAGAAAAAGCTCCCCGACCTTATATGTCAATGAAGGTTATTGAATAGCTGATTAGGTGCACATTTCATAATTTGTACAACTTATCCATAGTGGGTGCTGCCAAAGTGCCCCTTTCTCAGTGTACCATTGCCATTGTTTCTCCATTTTCTGAGGACGAACTCTTCCTGCCCGCTTTGGTCTGTGACAACGAGGAAACTGCTATGAAAAAAAGAGCAAGATTGGATCTTAGTCCTTTCATGAGTATGCTGTTTCCTCCTAGCCAAAATGACACCATCTAAGACCACGCTATAGCACCGAGTGTAGCTTTTACGGAGGCTTGGCCCACTCATGGCTTGTTTTCTAACACATGTTTAAATGGAACTACAAAAACTTTCATCAGCAGATTTATCTACTACAGTTGCAGTTGATGAATTGGTGGAAGCCACCCAGGGAGTAAGCCCTGGTAGATGGGTTGCTACAAGAAACCAGATAACTGAGCTCACTATGGGTAGTTGCTCACTCCTTCCCCTTCAGTCCTCTACCTGGCACCCCAGCGGACATCACATCAAAACAGACTTCTCTCCCCACCACCCACCTGTTGTCAAAGGACGTGGACCAAGAGAGGATCCAAGTAGGATTTTTACCCCTTTGCTTTCTCCTGCTTTTTCAATCATTGTTTACCAGCCATGGCCAGTACCTCCAATAAGCTGAAAGGACTCTCACTGGCTGGCAAAACAGAGATTGCCAAAGCTAGCTGTCAAGCCCAGGATCATGTTTTTCCAAAAAAGAAAGGTTAAAGGGGGAAAATGCTGTGGTGAACCGAAAATGTCTCACAGTCATGGTTGGTTCAGGGAAGTGAATTGTTATCCCACAGTGTCCTTTGGTTACACATGCGAGAACCAAGGGGGAAGCAGGGGAAGAACAACCTAGGGTGACCTTGATTGTCTGTTAGGTGTATTGTAGGTTGGCTGATTGCCAGGGAAAATTTACATGATGCATGAACATGCCCACTGAGTTAAAGTGGGGAAAAGGAGGTTCGGTTTTGCTTCCCTCTGTTCATGCTCTGTTGGGTAAGAAGTAAAGCCCATCCCCATCACATGTCCTATCTGGATTCACATCCATTGGCCTGAAACTTGTTCCTGTCTCATTTGCATATAAAGGTGAGATAACTGTCAGCTGAAAGTTCCAGGATGGGAAGGAACATGAAGGAGATACATAGCCATAGTATGTGGAAAAAGCTCATAAACTAGTAAGTGAAAGCCTCACAAAAAATTTCAGGAGGCCACTTTTGCTCAGTATTTTGTGAAATGCAGCATCAAAGCCTGTGATCCCCCAAGCTGAAAATTCATCATGGGTGACTGATAAGTGAGTCCAGTCTCAGAGTGGTGTACCCCATGTGCATTCTGCTTTGTGTTTCTGTAACCTGATGGAGTCCCCTTTTGGCAAAGCCTGGTATCTGGAGCAATACTATGAGTGGCAACATGATGAATTGGCAGAGCTCTTCTTACCTGCAGGGAGGCTGGTCTTTTGAGTGACTGGCTCTGGGATTTTCCAGCAGCCCAAGTCCTCATCCCAGCTGGACTCCCGCTTAATTTTATCAAAGTTGCTGTAATTGCAGTCTCGTCGTATGAGGGGCTGCACCTGGTCCAGGAGCTGCTGATAGAACAGGAGTTCTCGTTCTTGGCGGCGAATAGTGCCTAGATAATCGATCTTTTCCAGTTCAAATTCTGACTGAAGGTCTTTGATTTCGGTCTCAGCAACCCGCAGCTAGGAAAGGAAGTATCAATCTGAAAATAAGGGCTAAGGGAACAGCTAAGAGCGGTTTTCTTATTTCATAGAGAATCTATATTCCCAAGCAATGCTAGTCAGGCTCCTAAAAGGAAATGTTGGGAACCAGAGTACACAAGTTAGTCCCCATCTGATATAGTCACAGGACTGGCTCATGCATGCATGAATATTAACTGTTTAATCTTGCACATGGTGAGGAGCAACTGAATGGCTGGATGATAACCCCACACTCAAGGTTGTTGTCAAAATGTGTTATCAGTTATTGTGTTGTCCAAACACAGCCATACTTGTTAACCATGAATAATCAATCAAGAGAACCTAAGTTTTGTTGTATAGTGGTTGTTCACTAGGGCTTGTTTTGACTGAGTTCAGACAACATGATAACTCATATTTCAACAACAACCCACACTCAGCTGATACTTGAGTACAGACTGTCTGAACCCTGTCAATGTATAAACTGACTCCTTATCATCTGCAGTCATAAGGGATTCATAGGCATGTCTAAATAGACCCTTAGACATGCAGTGTTTTACTTTCTTCACAAACAGGTGGTCTGCTGGAAAGTGGCCACTGGATCAAGGACTACCTTCTTCTCACCTTTCTTGGAACTATGAAATATGAAAAAGTGTTGGATTCCTTTACCTTAACAATTGTACAGGGCAGGGAAATTGGAGCTACAACTGCTCCAGCAGATTCTACTGCAATTCCCTCTTTTGTACAATTATTAGCAGCATTAAAATATTGTCCAATTATTTGTATGACATCTCTTCCTTTGTTTTCCTCCCCACCATCTTAAAAATAAACAAAACTAAGCATTAAAAAGAAAACAAGCCACCAATGTGACCCACATTAATTTGGGAGTAAGTTGCCACAAAGTTGTTGGAAAAGAATGATTGAAAGGTTGCAGAAATAGGGGCCTGATCTTTTCTCATTCACTACACTTGCATGCATGGTGGGGTGTGGAAAGCTGCCCTTCTGTGGCACTGTACAAGACCTGTTTGTTTCAGAAGGGAAAGCAATCACCTTTTCTTTCATCTTCTCCAGCATTTTGCTTTTGGCTCGCACTTCTTCCTGGATGGAATCATAGACATTGAGCAGGACCCAGTCGCTGCTATCCTCATCTGATTTCTGCAAAGCTGCCAGCAGCTGCTTCTTCCGCTCATCTGCAATTTTCTTTTGCCGTTTATGCTTTTCCTTCAGATCTTTGTTCTTGGCCTGTTCTCCTCCTACCACCTGTTGTTCTAACAGCTGCAACCTGAGAGCATCAGAAATGTGTCTTAGCTGTAGGCATGGCTTTTCAAACTTTCTGAACTTGGGGTTCCCTTTTATCACAACCGTGTCTGGGACCACCATATTTTGCAAAGGAACCTAGGGTCATGGCCAGGCCTTTTGGGGCTCATTCTTTCTCCACATGATCAGATTACAGTCAAAGTGTTGCAGAAAAATTTGGCAATACACAAAATATTTCAGTTTCAAGAATGCTTGCCCACTACTAGTGTTCTGGTGAGTGAGAACTTCCTGAAAATCTTCTAAGGAACTCCAGTTTGCAAACCAACATTTTCCTGCAAGAATGGAGACCGCTTTTCTGCAAGGGCTGCATTCCCTCAGGTGTAATCTGTGTGGGTGTTTGGGGTGTGTGCATACTGACAGGAGGCAGAAACAAATCCAGTGGCAGGCAGAGGTAGCACAAAAAATGGACAGTACCAGTTCTTTTTCTCTTGTGAGGGACCTAGCTAGGAAGCAGGGACTGGATGTCAGCAAGAAGTTATCATTTCAGGGTCAGAGGCAGGGGAGACACAAAAAGCTAGTTGCCTGAAAGCTGAACCTGGGAAGGCCTTGTGTCACCCTAACCCCCACAAGTAGTGCTCAGTCCTCCCCAGATGCTGTGATGAGGGCAGAGGGAGACATTTTACAGCACGTGTTCACCTATGCACAAATAATTGCATAAAATATCAACTCTAGATTGCTGAGAATCCTAGTATTCATTTTAAAAAATGATGCTGTTAGTTACGCAGGTACTGTGGGGAAACACACAGGCAAGTTATGATCCAAAGACGTGTGCGCTCCTGTAAGAATGAAGCTCTACAAGTGCTCCATTAACTCCATGTGGATGGACTCCATGTGCTCCACATTTAGAGAGGGGGCGCGACAGAACATTCCCCCACATTCAGTCAGTGTCTGCTTAGGTGCTGGAGGCCTGCGGGGGCTCAGGACCCATTGTGTATGGAGGTACGGATGGAAATGTCTGTGCAGGACTCTGTTACGCAGGAGGAGGAGGGAAAGGCAGCCATTTTGAGCCCTGAATGGCTAGCTGCCTCTTCCTCCTTCATATTCTGTTCTCAACTGCACTTCATTTGCCCATGTGGTCCCTTCCAGCCTGTCATTTCCTCATCAAAAAAACAAGGAGCCACAACCTCAGAACAAACCATGCAAATGTAAGCTCAGGCCAAGAAACACATTTGCACATATGTATTTGGTTTGTAGAACTGATTTTCAGCTGAACACTTGCATTTTTGGGTGCATAATGTGGAACTAAAAAGGGGGATTGCTGAAATGGAATGGCTTTCTGTTTTTTATACTTCCATGTATGTCTTGGGAGGTTCCAAAACAGAATCCTGCAGATGGCTTTCCTGATTGCAGAGTCCCAGTGGCTCTCCCTCCCTCTATCCCACCCAGATGTCACACTCATCACTGACCTGGCAAGGACTTGTTGTTGGTCCAAGGCCAGAGGGGGCTCCTCAACTTCATTGGACCCAGGTGTCCCTGGTCTGAGTACTTTCTCCATGTGCTGACCCACCAGGGGAGCAGGAGAATTGGCAGAGTCAGCCTCCTGAGTAGAGAAGGAAATTGGAGGCAGCTATTTTGAAGAGATATGGTATCTGCACTGATGGACAATAGGCTGATAACACATGGAACTTTCCACAATATAAAGCATTGTATTTGCTACTTCCCTAGGAGGGACTGGGAGAAAAGGACCCAAGACTGTCCCATCCACTGGATGCATACACTGCAGCCTAAGCTTAAGGCCTGCTAGAGAGCTGTACATCCACTGGCTGGTTGCTCCTGCTCTCCTTGCTGGTTTGCCCATGGCCATACTTCAGTCCCAGCCAGCCAGCTGCTGTGCAAGGCTGTGAGAGAGGAAAGGGAGAGAAAATCATTTGCTTGCTTGGCATGTGAGCCAAGTGAGCTAGGCAACCACAGAGTGCTTCTGCCCTAAACCAGCCAACAATTGAGCTTTTGACCTCACAATGCTCATAGAAAGCTGGGGTTCCACAGGCGCCTTCAGAGATTTGGAGTTTCTCACAGACCAACTTGTGCACAGTGTGCCCATCTTCTCTCCCTAAATTACTTAGCTTCACAGACATAATTCATGTCACTGTTCCATGATGATAAAATGCAGCAAGCGAACTGGACTGAACCAAAGCATTCTGAAAGTCAATCCCATGTACAGCATAACCCTGTGTATGTTTACTCAGAACAATCCTCACTTATTTCAGTGGGATTTATTCCCTAGTAAATGCAGTTTGTACATAAGGCTTGCAGTAACCTTAAGCTACCCCTGTGAATAAGCTACACAGCATGAACTTTTGCTGAACACCCCACAGTTCAGCCTGACAGATGCTTAGGCTTACTGTGGGTTGTCTTCCTCTCAGCCCTCTCAGTCTGAAGGGGACTTTGTGGCTAAGTCTGCCTTGTGTCCCACTCTTTGATCAGATTACTACCTCTTTTCGTTCCCTGGCTTTTTATTTTTCAAAGCTTCAGCATGTGCAGTTAGGGTTGTACAATATTTCATTATTTTGTTGGTCTTTGGCAAGTGCACTGTTATGGCTATTCTACATGCATAGTCTTCCTTCTTTATTTCAGCTGCTAAGGGAGCTGTGAAGTACCACAGGTGACATGTAAGTACCATAAGCAACAAACAAGGAAATTGAAAGGCTGAGGTTGCCTGTTGTCTTAATATGCACACTGTTGCAAAGAACTGGAGAGAACTAATAGTAAAGAAAAAGAAGTGCAAGTCAGAAGAAAGGAAAATGAGGGGAAAGAGCCAAGAGAATAAGTGCTCCAAAGGAGTGGGGACACACACACAATATCTCCTTCTGGCAACACAATCTTCTCACATTCAGGCTTTGAACTGACACTTCTCATTGCTTTCTACATTTTCAACACTTCCCTAAGTCTCCAGCTACTCCCAAATGGGGAGATATCAATTTCCCCACCCCTTTTCATGGCTCCTATTACTATGCACTTACTATCTCAGTTATGGTGGTTCCTTGACAGTTCTAAAACAACAACAGAGAAGGTGGATGAATGGGATGGAGTCAGTGGGGCCCCACTGGGGTGGTGGGTATAAGTTACTGCTGGTGCTGTTGCACCATCCCATTCTGCCACCTTTAGGACATCTTTTTAAACTTCTGGGAAAGTTTGCACATTATTTTTGGCCTGGAAATATATGCAAATTTAATGGCTGGAAAGCAAATGGAGGGGAAATGTTCATTCAATACATGTAAGCTAACAGGTAACATTGCAAAGTGGGAGATCCTATGGACGTTTGGTGCACTTAGTGCTTTGGCACCGTACTGTGAACATTCCAAGTCAGCTGACTTTTGGCCAGGTCTGCTTTTAATAATGGGGGAACCAAAGAATTTAGAAGCAGTCTAAATCCAGTCTTTTAAAAATATAGTTCATTTCCAGTGCTCAAACAGGGAGCTGGGGAGGACAGTGCCTTGCCTTGCCAGATTCATATCAGGTGAAACTAGTTAATTAAGGTAGCATTCAAACAAGGGACTTTCCTGATTTCTAACATCAGCCATTCCTGATCTTTCTTAGGGAATCTCTACATGAAGGCTCTGTTATGCACTTGTGATCCCTCAATCATGGAAGTTTTCACAATGGCATCTCCTCCAGTACCTCTCCTGTGTTTGCCAGACTTTTTCCTGAGTTCAGAGTGAGAACAGTCTCATATTAAATTTTAAATTGCAACAAATTGGAACAAAATGCTGGTGTATTGCTGCAAATCTGCTGCACCACACTGCAGTGAGAGCTTGTGCTTGGTTAAGAGAATATGTAGAAAAGCAGAAACATACAACCCCCCCCCCGCCCCCGGCAACCATGTAAAGGACACATTTTCTCTCCCACAATGAAAACAGAAGAAGCCTCAATAAAGTAGCAGGTGAAACCCCTTATGTAGAGAAGCCCTTAGCCTAGCCAACAGCAGCTCTTGGCAGGTATATACAAGTATCGTAGAGGTACTATGAAAACCTGCTCTGATATTTCTCAGGGTATGGTATAACTGGAAAGAAAAAGAAGTTCCAACAGCATCTTAATGACTAATTGATTTACTGTCGCATAGGCTTTCAGCCAATGACAGCTCCAGGGTATTGGGAGGCTGGCCATTGTGCAAGGTATTCCTGGTGGCCCCATCACAACAGTGATTCCACTTACTCTTCCATGCCTGTGTTGCTCCCCACTCACTCATTCTGGACCAGAAAGCAGAATGAGAGAACAAACAGGAGGAGCTGCAAGCAGCAGAACTGGTGACCCAGAGGCCTTAGCATCCCTGCCATTGCTAAGGATGAAGCACAGTCCCAGAACCATCCTGTGTAATTTTAAGCAGAACCATCACTAAGGTTATTTCATCTGTTGAAGGAATTTTAATTTCCAGGTTACCTTGGCTGATGCTTCTGTTTCTGCAGCAGGTCCTGGAGCCAAGGGGGCTTGATCTGTAATGGCTTCAGCTGGCTGGGTGGTTTCTAAGGAAAATAAAGGAAGCAGAAACAAAACAAGGAGTTTTAGCTAAGAACATTAGTAGGTTTGTATAAACTATAATTACTAATAGAGTTGAAAGTGGCTTGAGAGAGGTTTTGCTAGGTGGAGGTATGTGACCAATACAAGATGGGCCTTTGGACATTCTCCTGGACTCCCTGGAAGTAGCTATGGAGGTGCAGGTGGCATCAGAGATCAGGAATGACTTTTATTGGCTCAAGCCGACCTACCAGATCTGCTCTTGTCTGAAGAATTTGGATTTTTCCACAGTCATTCATGCTCTAGTTATGTAAGAATGATCTCTAGGCTGTGTTACCTTTGAAGACAGTTTGGAAGTTTTCCCTGCCCAGCCAGGTTTCCCTCCTTGTCTTCAACCTCATCCAATCCCCAACTGTTGCCAGTCAGTGATTCAGGACTGCAGTTTCCCCCCGGGGTTAGAGAAAAAAAAACTAACAGGAGTATCACAGGAACCCTGGAAAATGCTTCATATAGTATATACCCCTGCTCCGTCTAGTGCTCTGTTGTCAACACAGACATCCATGGCTTTCCAGGGTCCCAGCCCTCCAGCAAACTTTCCCAGCCCTACCTGGAGATGCCAGAGACTGAACCTGTGACCTTCTGCTTACCACAGAGCTACAGATCCTCCATGTTGTCCATAGTACTCTTGGCACTATTTTAGTGCACAATGTTGGATGACCCCTGCCCACAGCTTGATGTGGGTCCATTAAAGAACTCTGCCCTGCCTTGGTCACCCTTGGGCTAGGAGATGAAGCAGCAGTCTCCCAGCAGCAGCTACATACCAAGAAATATCAGGGCCACTCCAAATGGAACTTCCTAATCCCATTTTAACCAGGTGGCCCAAGAAGGCTTTGCAAACATCCTCCTAGTTAGACCTTTTTACCTGCCAGTTTTTACTACTCTGCACAATTATTTCTACTGCTGCTAGTCATAGGGAGGGGCAGGCTGCCCCATCCCTCTGCCTTCTGGAAAGCTTATTCTGTAGATCCTCTGGCTTCTAAGATATCACCAGGAATGAGAATCCTGGGATGTTGGAATCCATTATTTATGCACAGGGCCAACTGTGTGTCCATAGATGGAACTCCAGCATGCACACAATCTTGTCTATGAGGTCCAGTGGTTCTTTACGGATCTGCTCCACCCGTACCTGCTTCCTTCCTAAGATTCTCCTCCAAAGTGTGGCACTTCAGGTCATAAGCACTCCGTAATGCACTGATGTCCTCCTCAAGCCGGACACGAGATTCTTGTTCAGCTTCATAGTCAGCCTTCAACTGGGCCAGCCTCTCCTCATACTCCTGGGAAGATCAAGCTCAGCAAGTGAGGCAACCTCATGGGGCAAATGTGACTCCAGGCCACAGCTACCTGTTCTGGGGGACTTGATTCATTTCTGTATGACTGTCAGAGATTATACTCCTAAGTATTCAAGAGTATTAAAACACTCAGTTCTTCCAAGGGCCTAATATTATGTGAACTTTGCTAATTTACCTTCACAAGATATGGAATGAAATAGGCACATCATATTTAACTGGAAGGGATTACCACAGATTTCAGAGGAAATACTTTCCAAATTAATTACTTAGATCCACAGCCAAAACTGGAAGGCCAAGTTCTAGCAATGGCACCCCTAGCAGTCAGGTGGTGGTGTCCTGTCTTTGGAAAACATTTGGCACTGTCACTTTTCTCCTTTAAGCTCCAAGTATTTGTTTGTTCATTTGTTTAATCACATTTGTATGCTACCCCATAGCCAGAAGCTCTCTGGGCAGCTTACAGTGAGAACTTATTCTATGGTAGAACTTATTCTATGGTCTTGTGTGTTTTCTGAGTGTCCTGAGTTGTGCAGACTGCAGACCCTCAATACTCCTACCCCTTCAGGGAGCTACTAGCTTCTCTTTGCCCTCCTCTCATTTCTCATCATTGCTGCCACTTGCTTGATGAGAGAGGGTGAAGGAGCAAGCAGGCTGTGGTGTCTTCTGCTCCTCTTTCATACCATCTCCATTGCCTGGCCAAAGTGAGAGGTGGGTGAATAGTCTTGTAGTGCTGAACAGGAGGAATGACTCCAGAGGGCTTTTGCCAGTGGGCTCCTGTTGGGATATGGGCTCTTGACAGGTACCCAGTCAGTCCTGGTTCCTGGATGCCTGGTCTTATTTTAAAAAAAGAAATCAGAAGAGGCATTGAAGGGAAGCTTTATGGTTCAGCTACCCCACTGGATTATTTTAATAACCATTAAAAATAGGTTGGCAGTTCTGGGCCAGGAAGGCTTGACAGTGATGATGAAAACACACTCTGCCTGCTCCAAGGGTATGGCCAACTTACTTCTCGGATTAGCTGCTTCTCCTTCTCATTCTCTGCCTGCGATTCAGGAGAGGGTTCTGGCTTTATCTCTGGCTGAGGAGCCTCAGAATGTTGCACGTGAGACACCTCCACTAAGGAAGGTGAGAAAGAGTATAATTTAGAAAGTCACAGTCTTTAGAAGAACATGGCAGCAGAAGTCCTTGCTAACTAATGACCCCAAAGATCCCATTTCCAGATGATCTGATATGGTTCACACTGGTAGAAGCTAAACTGAGAGGCTTCCTAAGCCATGGTTTCTTTCTTCATTGTATAACCATGAGAAAATACACTGGTGATTCAGACTTTCAGGTCAGATTTTCATGCCCCTCCACTTGCAGAGCTGGAGCAGGCAGTGGGGATATTACCAGCTGGCAAATTCCCAGCATATAGACTGCAATGCTGGGGGAGCCCTTCTCTGCCCCTACCACCTCCAGCAATAGCAAATGCCTTCACATTTAAGAGTCCGAAGTGGGAAAGGGGTTTTGCCAGCATGACATCATTCAAGATTAGCAGTGCAATTGGTGCTTACTGCACCACATTGTAAAACCAATTTGTGTTTTTAAGAAACAGTATTTGCATAGATGAAGTTAGGGAGAAGCTCACTGGGACAGGAACCCTGAATATTTCAATTGTGGCCCCAGATCTCTGGGAAGCCATTTGATCTCCCACCCTGCTGTGTCCACAAGCACTTACTAAAGTAAAGGCACAACCAGGTACCCTGCTGAATTCTGTGCCACCTGATTCACTGGCTTCTTGGCTATATGTGCTTCACCTCCTGCTGTCCACCCTGGAATCTTTCTACCTGAGGCTTTTTAAAGTGGCAAATACAGCTAAGGCTACCCTCTCTCTTCTGCTGCAATGCTCTATCATCATTTTATGAAGCTTTTATTCTTTTTCACATATTCAGACTTAAAAAAGGGATAAACAGGAAGCCAGCTGCTTCTGCTGTGCAATTAACCTCATTGCAAAAAAGGGTGTCTTCCATCCACCACATATGGAGGGGTTCTAAGCTAATGTCCTCTTCCCCAGCTCAAGAGCTTTCCACAGTCTCCTTTTTTCACAAGAGGCTTCTAGCACGTTCATTTCCCATTTGCATTCTGTACTTGTATAGCTCCAGCAGGCCTATATCACATACTTTAGCCCAATGCATAGATAGATGGCTAAGATCTGGTTCAACTTCCTGGAATGTTCTTTGTCCAGACTATTGCACATTTTGATTTGTGTGTGTTTTCTTAACAGCAGTCCCTAGAAACATTCCAGTTCACATTCCCAAAAGGAGAAAGTACAAATGTACAGGAAATGTATTACAAGGACCACCAAACAGATATCAAGAGTCAAAACAGGAACAAATCAATAAGAAAGGAGAATGGAAATATCTGTGGCTGTGTTGGACTACTACAAACACATCCCAATATTTTTGGGCTGAGATTGCTAGCTGCCAGTGTGCTGGCTGGGAAAGGAGCAATGACCCCACATTGGACAATTAGAGGCTCTCATTATTGGTATTGGTTGACTAGGGTCTTTCCTGGGGAGATGAGGCAGAGAAAACTGGCACCCATCCCTCAGCCAGTGTGAGGGCCGCTGTCCTAAATGTTCCTACCTTGCAAATTACTTATGTTTGTCTGCTGAGCTAAAATGGCCTTCAGCTTCTTGATCTCCTCCTGATACTCCCTCAGCAGTGCATCCTTGGGATCCTCATTGATGCGAGGCTTGTTTCGGATGTTCTTGGCTCGGTGGGCATAGCGCAAGGTGCTGAGAGTCTCATCATAATTGTTGTCCGCAGGGGACAGGCATGCCACCATGAGTGTCTTGGTGTTCCCTCCAAGTGAGTCCTGCAGCACCCGGGTCAGTTTGGAGTCGCGGTAGGGAACATGTTTGCATCTCCCATCAGCCAGTGCTGAGATGACATTGCCCAGGGCTGAGAGAGACAGGTTGATTTTGGTGGCCTCTTTAAGGCGGTCTCCCACAGCTCCAGTTTTGGACTGCCTCTCACTCCCAGCTAGGTCCACCAGATTGAGCTTTGCAGCCCTCAAAAGTTCCTGTCCTCTCCCGTCTGCAGGGAAAGAAAGGCCCTACATCAGGCTGAGTGCTTGAAAGAAAAGGCAGTTCCCAAGCCATGATAACCCCAGAGAGCACCTGGCTGCAGAATTAATTAATTTTAAAAAGGAACTAGAGTAGAAAGTGCTTCAAAAAGGAATAATTTAAAGGGAGGGTTAAGCTATCCCCTTTCTGGAGTGGCCGGAGACTCAGGGAAGTGTTGAAAAGGTAGAAAGGATCAAGAAGTGTCAGTTCATCATTTAGAAGCCAGAGAACCACATTGCCACAGGCTAGAAATTGTTCCCACTTCCTTTTGGTGCTTTTCCATTGACCACTGAACAGTCGTTTTCTGGCAGCTGTGTGCAAATTACCTTCTATACAGTCTTGCCATATCAGTGTCTGTGTATGTTATCTACTGGCACTGCAGCTCCCTATGACAGCTGAACCATACAAGAAAATTGATCAGGCAAAAGACTACACACATTGGACAGTCTCAAGAGTGCATTTAGGAAAAGCTGAGGGAAAATTAATTTAAAAAAATGAACACAGCTGCATGATTTTGTGAGGCTCAAAAAATAAGATTACAACTGAAAATTTGTAAAATATTGTGAATATAGATTGACAGTGATTAGAGCAGAATGTGGAGACAAGATGGGCTTTGCTGTGAAGGGCACTTGGATACTGGCTAGTGGAACAAGCCACAGTGAGCCCAATTATCCACTGAGCACAGTGTGGATTGTTCTGTGAACAGTCCACACTGTGTCTCTAATTTGCAGGGTGGCTTAGCATGAATCAAGCCATTTTTGCCACCTTCTTCTAGTCTCTAGTTGTGCCATTACCTCATGCTCCAGTAGAAGCAGTGAGAGGTTCACAACCCCAACAGGAATGGGTCAACTGCTAGTTTGAGAATCACTGCTCCTATGGGTGCTAAGAAAAGGTAATGATAAACCTTTCAGACCCTGTTCCTACTTGTAGAGGCTCATCCAAAACACCATGAAGTTTGCATCAAGCTCCAGCCGCTGACCTGTCCCATTTAACCCACTGAATCAGCTAAATTCAGCTTTTACCTACGACACAGATCTCCATATTGATGGTGAAGATGGAGTGGGAACGAGAGGAGTCTTTGTTCATGAGGGTGTAGCCCACTGCACGGTTTCTCCAGCCTGTTTCCATTATGCGCTCACACTGGGCGATGCTGTGCACAGTGTGCAGTGACAGGCCCTTCACATAGATCCCCTTCTCTGGGTGCTCCTTCAGCTATAATGAGGGGTATTATAGCAAAAGTTACAGTAAAAGCTGCAGAGAAACACCTGAACTCAGAAGCAACCAGAATCTCAAGGACTTTCTCTTTCAGAAAGAGCAAGCTTGTTGAGTCCACCTGCTGAACAATCCAACAGGACAAGTCTGGAAGGGGTCCTGGAAACATACCAGGACCCGCAATCATTCCCCACCCACTAAAAGCAAATTGCCACATCTACTGAGCATATGTATGCACTTGTGTATTTCCCCAGAGTAGATTAACCAGCTAATATGCTTGTGGCAGTGTTTTTGACAAAGAAATCATCTACCAGTTGGCTCCTGAAATTCTCACTAAAAGAGCAAATGTAGATTTTATATTTCCCAATAGTATCTAGGAAAGAACTGTCATAAAATGCAGGGGAAATGGCCACAGCTCATTGGTAGAACAAAGCTTTGCATGCAGAAAGCCCCAAGTGCAGTTCCAAGTGTCTATGGAAATAATCTCAAGTAGAAGGACTGGGAAAGGCTCCTGTCTGAGACAGGAGAGCACCTGGTATTTAGAAAGGAGCATACTGGGTTACAAGAAGCAGTGGTCTGACCAGTGGACTTGTTTAGATGACACAACAAACCATCATGGCTCACTAGCCAGAGTGAGTTGTAGTGTCATTCAAACCCAGACTGCTTCCTGAAAAGTGATCCTGCAGAATGATTTATTTTAAGGCAATACATGGCCTGTTCCAGGGGTTGTTCATACCATGATGGACTGTTACATCATCTGAATATGAGAAAACAATTTCATCATGGATTGAGGGGATCAGCTAGTGACCTGCTCAAAAAGAGCAGCATGAGTTCCTGCCACTCTTTGCAACTTTGCCACTCCCAGTTCCTGTTTTTCCACTATGCCCAAGGGGCACTTTGGAGCAACACTGACTGGTTTGCCACAATCTTTCAGCCTCATAAATTTGTGCAAATGTGTTAGTAAGGTCTCTTTGGTTGGTCTTTGCCAGGTGTGCTCTTGCAGCTGTCCAAAAGGCACAGCCTTGCCTGATCAATTCTCTTGCATGGTTCTGTTATCAAAGGGAGCATGAGGACTACTAAGCAAAATGTTGCCACCTATAAGATTTTTTTTAAACTGTTGGGAATATGTGTAAATTTAATGGTTATGAAATAAATGGAAGGGCAATTGGGGGGGTCAACCTATGAGCAGGAAAGTAAAGGGAGAGGATTTGTGCACCTGCACTAAGGGAGCAATTACTGCAAGTACTATAATTACAGCAAGGACTACAAATAAACCCCAATTTACTTCCAGGTCATTAAATGTGCATATATTTTTAAACTGTGCAGAAACCAAAGGAAATGAAGCAGTCAATATAAAAAAGCCATGAAAATGGGTAGGGGAGTTAATATCTCCTCTTTCTGGATTAGCTGGAGGCTTGGTGGAAAAGATGGATGGCACTGAGAAATATTAAATACTTAAAGCTGCGATATTTCTGATGGGAGATATTGTACTCCTCAATCTTTAAATGCATTTTGGATGCATCATTTGCTGCCCCCCACTTTTTTGGTGTTTTTAATTGACAACTCAGCAATTGGCCCAAGCCAATCATGCCAAATTAACCTACAGGGAGTCTTATCCGCTTCAGTGTACCCTGCTTACTCCACTTTGCTACACCCTCTGAAAGCTGGAACAGACAAGGAATCTGATCAGGCAAGACTACACATATGGGACTACTGAAAGAGCGCAGTTGCACACTTGCAAAAAACTGGCAAATACACAGTTGTGCAATTTTCTGGGGCTGAAAAAATAATTTAAAATAACCCCAACTGCACATTTTTGATGCCTTGAATGGTCTTGTTTTAAACAGTGGAATATGAAATAGGGTAATGATCAGAGTGGAGAGGGAGAATGAAGGCAGGTTCTTCCATGAAAGACACTAGGATTCTGGATGAAGGGGGAAGGAGGAGGAGGAGAAGTCACAGTGAGCCCAATAGTCTGTTGGGCACACTGTGGGGTATTCAACTAACAATGGCTTATTCATAGCGTCATAAACACTTGTTCAGTGTGAGGCACACTCATTTATATATATCTATGGTCCAATAAGGGTTAGGGCAGCCCCCATTCTTGGACATGAGAGAATCTGGCTGAGCAGTGGCTTGAAAAGTTGAACCTGCAACAAGTCCAGATGGTAGCTTGTTCCCAGCAATCACTTGCAAAGACTTCATTGGTCAAGATAAGAGCTTCCCTACCCATCTTTGTGGCTCTGCAGACCATGGTCCCAATTTTGATGCCTTGATTTTTTTTACCTCCTTCCAATTTTAGTACTTGGGCTGCCAGCATGAGCACAAAATCATTTCTCCACTTCTGTGTCCTATCTCATAGGCTTTCTTCCTTCAACCCTACCACAGTGCTACTTGAACTGAAGACATAGCATGGGAAGTTTGTAAGATGATTAGGTCTCAAGATCAGAGTTAAAATTTTGAGGGTTTGTCCTCCTCCTTCTCAGGCTCCCCCAGAAAATTATTAAATTCTCAGAAAGAGGGACAGAATGAGGAAGGGGGGTATTTCCTTCTTGGCTTCCTGAGTGCTTTGGCCATTTGCTTTGCCCCAGGCTGGGTTCCAGCTGAACATCAGGAAGAACTTCCTGACTGTTAGAGCAGTACAACAATGATACTAATTCCCCAGAGACGTTGTCAGTTCCCTCACACTGGAGGCATTCAAGGTGCAACTGGACAGCTGCCTGAAAGGAATGGTTTAACATGTAGTCATGCATGACAGGTGGCCAGACCCAATGGCCCTCTGGCCCCTTCCAGCTCTTCTGTTCTATAATCCTGTAATTCTAACCATCTTCTTCAGGTCTTATGCCTTGCTCATCAGGTTACATGTATAAGGCACCCCCTATTTCCCATTCTCCATCCCATGAATATCGGGATCCTGATCTTTGAGGACCTGACAACCATTCTGAGCTCACATGATGACAGTACTTATTCTGATGCTGAACAAGATGCTGAACAAAATGTATGTCTAAAGGAAAGAGTGCAACAGAACAAGTAGGGAAGGGATGCTCCATCACTCAAGGCCCAGGAAGAGGAAGGGCTATATGCTGATAGTGATCAGGAATACAGAAAGCTGAACTTCATACCCTGAGTTAACTGTTGTTGGCTTCAGGTCTCTAGCCAAGTTTTCTTGGGATAATGTGCATTTCTGGCATAGTTAATTTTGCTCACAGTGAGCTATCAGAGTTATGGTTTCTGGAATTTTGGTTTTTTGACTTACTTCAAACTAAGGTCCTGCCCTGTTAGTCTGGTGGCCTCACCTCCAGTTTTTGTTTGGTGTTTGGACCTAGGAGGTCTCTGATGTCTTCATTATAGATCTCCAAATAGGAAGCTCTCACCAAGAATTTGGAATTTTCTGCACACTGTAAAACAAAAATAGCAACAAAACAAGCTTGTTAAGGTGTCCAGATAGTTTAGGTGATCCTGACATTCATCAATGGTTCTCAACCTTTTCTATGTCCCACATTCCTAGAAAATGTTTATGTTTTTACCCCCTACAAAAGTAATGCCACATTTGAAGATGAAGTCAAATTTCTAATTTTTGGGCCACAAATTGGTTTAGTACTGTAGCTGAACAAATTGACCTAGAGGAAGAAGAAGACAATGATGACAACAAATGGGGGGACATGGTATCCCTTTATAAGTACCTCAAAGGCTGTCACAAAGAGAAAGGTCAAGATCTCTTCTTGCCAGAATGTAGGACACATTGAATAATCAATTCAAGTTGTGGCAACCCAGATTCAGGCTGGACATCAGGAAAAGTTTCCTCACGGTCAGAGCAATACAACAGTGGAACCAGCTGCCTAGGAAGGTGGTGGGCTCTCCCACACTGGAGACATTCAAAAAGAACCCGGACGGCCATCTGAGTGGGATGGTGCAACATGGTGTCCTGCAACAGCAGGGGCTTGGACTCGATGACCTTCATGGTCCCTTCCAACTCTTCTATGATTCGAAGCAGCAGCAGCAGCAACAGCAGCAGCTTTTAACTCAGTGCATAAAATTCAATTTCGGTGAATCATGATGTGGGCTTCCTCTTTGTCACACCCCCTGAAATGCCATCTCGCACCCCCTGGGGGTGTGAACACCCCACAATGACACCTCCTGACCTAGAGGGATGCATTGAATATGGGTCTTGAACCATATTCTCACTGCTGTAATAATGTGTGCCTGCTCTGCCTGTCTCACTTCAGATTACAGGTGAGATTGCATATGACTGAATGGTCTTCCCTACAAAATGCCAATAAAAAACCCTTCTGCATCTAGATAATTAGCCTATTGGAGAGAAGAGTTTACTGTTAAGATATATACCCTCGATTAAGCACACTGTCAGGGTGGCTTGCTTCTGAAGCCTGATGCCCTCCTGATGTTTTGGAGTACAGCTAGCAGAATTCCTGACCAATATGCTTGGGTGGAGCTGACAGAAGCTGAAGTTCATAACATCTGGAAGGCTGCACCAAAGATGGTTATTCTTTTGTTATATCTTTCATGCAAGGTCAGTCCAATATCTTTCCATGCCAGTGGTAAAAAAAAAATCCCATTTAAGATGGAGATCTAGAACAGTGCAGTGGAACGATGTAGCGAGAACAGTGTAATGACCTATTATCAAATCCCTATTAATCCACAAATCTGTCTGCGTAACGCTGAACCAGTCACTGGCTCTCAGCCTAAATTACCTCACAGGACAATGACCCGTCAAACTGAGCTACTTGAATAAAGGATAGGATACACATGAAATAATCCCGTCCAGTGGGGGTCCCTCCCATGAACCAACATGGGACACAATCAGGAAGGAAATGGTCTTGTAGAAAAGTAGGCACTGCACAAGAGCACACTATTACTGCATGTTAGTGCACCACTCCTGTGCTGAAGGACTTCATGGCGGATTGTTCTCCCATTGGGGATATTGGTCTTTCTCTGCCATCCTACCTGGTATCCAAAACACATAACTTCACCTTATTTCAGGATTAAGTCTCCTTTTGCATGCTGCGCATCATGGGAGAGCATGTTGAGCTCAAATAAAATAAAACATTCCCAGCAGCCAGAACATGCTTTATCCATGACAACAGGCTGGGGTTTAAACCAGACACACAGAGTTGGAATGGAATCAGTGGAATAATAATCCAGAACAGCTGGTTGAGTAAACAAGCTCTTAGCCAAATGTAAGGCCTGTGTACCTGCACACTCTCAAATAAGTGTTCAAAAGCTCGAGGAATGATGCCTTTCTGGGAAGGTGGATCCAGGATCCCTTGCATAGTAAAGGACTTCCCACTGCCTGTCTGTCCATAGGCAAAGATGGTACCATTATAGCCTTCTGTGACACCCTGGAAAAAAGAACAAAATATTCAGAATAAGAATAGCCAAAAACTTGGAGTGATTTATTTTTCCAGCTTAGTGTCTCACCTTATCTCAAAAACTTTGTCAGCAACTAACCACAAGCATCCAGGCTGGAATTTCCAGAAATTTATTTCAAGAGCCACTCAAACTTGAATTTCATTCAAAGAAACAAATACTGTAAATACTGTAATTTTCCAAACAGTGAGACATTTCAGGCCTACAGCACTTGCCTGGGATTGGCTGAGGCCACTGGAGACATATAACAGTTTGCATTATGTATGTATGTTTACAAGTATGTGGCTAGGTGGAGGAACAACTTAAAAAACACTCCATCAAACAAAATATTCTGATCCCCCATAGAAACAGCTGCACTATATATTGTTTCCAGAAATCATACTCAGGGCTTCTGAACATAGGCCTTTATTGTGATCCTTATTATGATCTTTCACTCATACAAATTTTCAAGACACTGGCATCCTCTAGAACCCCTCCCAAGTTTTCCAGCCATTTCTATAGCCTTATCTTAGAGAGAGAAAAGTCTGATATTTTCCTAGGAAGCACCATTATTTGGTACAGCAGCATAGTGTAATTTGGTAATTCTGCTCTGTACTACAGCATCATCTTAGAAACATAGAAACATAGAAACAGAGCAAGTCAGAAGGGGTCTCCCGGGCCATCTAGTCTGACCTCTGGCACCAGCCGGCTCCGCTCATGACATGCCCGCCATGTGGACATCCAGCCTATCCTTGAACACCCGCACCGATGGGGCCTCAGCGACCTCCCATGGAAGCCCATTCCACACCCTCGGGGTCCTGACTGTCAGGAAGTGCTTCCTGGCATCCAAACGAAACCTTGGCTCCCTGGACTTTGCTCCGTTGGAGCGCGTCCTGCCTTCCTCTGCAGGGGAGAACAGGCCTCTACCCATCTCCCTGTGACATCCCCTCACATACCTGTATGTCGCCAACATATCCCCTCTGAGTCTCCTCTTCTCCAGGCTGAAGAGACCCAGTTCCCTCAGTCTCGCCTCATACGGCATCCCTTGCAAACCGGCCACCAACCTTGTGGCCCTACGCTGCACTGACTCCAACCTGGCTATATCCTTCCTTTAACGAGGGGCCCAAAACTGAACACAATACTCCAATTGCAGGCGCACCAGAGTCATGTAGAGTGGTAGTAATACCTCTCTCGATCTAGAAGCCACGTTTCTGGCTATGCAGACCAGGGGTTCTCAAACTTCCACCAGGGGGCTAGTTGAAAGCTGCTGGTGCTGGGCACGGGCTGGAAAGGTGGTGCTGGCAGTGTGCACGGGCCGGTGCAGGGATGGCACATGCAGGCACGCGCTCTGAGACTGGGGCAGGGTGCACAGTGAGGCAAGGTGAGGCGGGGCGTGGGCAGGCACGCACCACAAGGCGGGCGCACAAGGCAGTGGCTTGCTCGCTTGGAGATCAGGGCTTTTTTTGTCATAGAACGCACCGGAACGGCGTTCTGACACCCTTTTTTGACAGATTTTTCCAAGTGATTGTGAATCGCCCTGTTAAGCGTAGCAGATTGGCGGCGGCAGAAATCATTAACATAGTGCCTGTGAGCTGTTTGTGTGTTGGCACGTTGGCGCTGATTGTGAGGGCGCTGCTCGGCTTGGGATCGGTTGTGTGGTCGCGCGCTGACTCAGCCGGTGGCGACCATTGTGTAAAAGTGTGACCCCAAGACGTGAGTTCCAGCACCTTTTTTTTTTTTTTACAAAAAAAAGCACTGTTGGAGATCATTTTCTCCGAATGAGCAAACCGCCGCCTCCCCACACACGGGGCAAGGTGGGTGGCGGGGGGTGTACCTGTGGGCACAGACGCATGTGTGGCAGGTCCAAATGGGCATGGCAGGCCCCCGGGCCATAGTTTGAGGACCCATGATCTTGAGCATTATGTAATGGAACATACAGAAAGGCAGAGGGGAAAACTTCAGGGGGGAAATCATTGAAGGACACCCTACTCTTCTGAAAGAGGAAGCCGCAGTAAAGCATCAGATTAAATGCTTCATGTAGAGAGACCCTCAGTTCTGTCTCCTTCCCTAGTTGACATCAGATCTTTGCAGGCCACTGATAAGCACAGCCATAAAGAAACCTCCACTAATCTCCCCAAGAGAAGGGAACGTGCTGGGTTGTATTTATCTAATTTGTTTAAATGTTCTGACTGACATGGCATTCAAGCCCAGCAATGGTCAGTTGCTGCAAAATTTCCAAAACACTAAAACAGTTCATCTGTTCCAGATGATTTGTTAACAAGGCAGCCACCCACCTTCACTGAGAACAGATGACATGGTTGCCATGCCAATGAGGGTACTTAAGCAAAACTGTGAAGGGACCCTGAGAGGTCATCCACTTTAGCCCTCAGTCCCACTGTGCAATCAAGTCTGGGAGCTTGCTTTAAGAAGATCTGAAAATTTTGAGAGCCAGTGTGGTAGTCAGGGTATTTGACTGGAGACCTGGGGATCTGGGTTCTAGTTTCCACTTGGCTATGAAACACACTGGGTGACTTGGGCCTGTCACAGACTCTCAAGCCAATGTACCTCACAGGGGTGTTGTTGTGAGGATAAGATTGAGAACAGGAAGAGAAGAATGATGGAGGGTGCCTTTAGTTCCTTGAACGTAAAAAGGCAGAATATAAATATAATAAATTAAAATTAAATTAAAATAGCATAGAAGTTAAAGGTATGGATGTCCATGCCTTAAATAAATTAGGACCATCTCATTGCTGCATGCAAATTTTGCAACAGATTAGCAAATTGATGGTCATTGGTATAGATTTATTGCCCCAAATCTCTTCTTGTTTTATCTGTCTGTTCAATGAGTTCTGGGATTCCCTCGTAGTTAGTCACCTGAATGGGTCAAGTGAAACGGCTTTACAGATACACTCATCAAAGCCTTACTCTGTGACCTTTAGAATACTGATTTGGAAATAATCCCCAATGCCTATAGTCAGTTACACTCACCTCTATGAGCGGGTAGGCAATTTCATTATAGATTTGCTCTGTGTTCTGGTTCACAAAATAGGCTCCATCAAAGGTGAACTGTTTTGGTGGGTCCTCTGTGGCAGCAGGGTTCTGGATGAAGCACTGGCCACGGGCACTGTCCATGTTCACCACCACCTTGCAGCCAAGCTGTTTTTCGCGTTCGTTCAAAGGACGGCAACGCACAATCACTTTCACAGCTTCTGAAGCCATGGCCAAGACCCATGAACTTGGCCTCAAAGACGTGGGTGTGTGGGGACAAAAGTAACTTATTTCCAGCCCAGGAGACAAGGCTTTGGTTCACTTCTGTTGGATGTTGAGAACAGGGCAGCAGAAAGAGGCAAACTGGGGGCTGCTGCTGTGCTCTTAAGACCGCTAGCCTAGGAAGTGGGCTGTCCTTTGCCAGGCAAACACTTCCTACAGGATAAGATCAGTACAGGGGATATGACCCCAAGAAGGCAACATGTGCTGATCAAGCAATGAAGCTTCAGGGAGCAATGGGGTCCCAACACCACCACTCCTCTAGTGGCCGAGGATGTGGGAGGCCTGAAGCGGTGTTGTGCAAGAGCAGTGCAGGGGGAAACCAGAAAAAGATCAGATAAGTCACCCTTGGTCTTGTTTTGGCAGGGCAGTGCTAGGCAGTCTTGGAGGTTATGCTGCTTTCCTCTGCAGAGTCAGGTGGCAAGTGTGGCAAAGATCGTGTATGCTGGGCACTTCTCGTGGGGGGAATTGTCTAAGAATATGGGGGGCACACCTGGACTGGAGTTGTGACCTCACAAAGAATCTTTAAGGCACAGAAGGCCCAAGTGATGGTCATCCACAACTCTGCACACTTGTGAAAAGATGGGTGTAAAGGAAGTGACCTTGCTTGATTCATCAAAAATTGGATGTGGTAGCAGTGAAAAGGGACACTCTTTTCATATGTTTTCCAGCTGATAAGTCTGATCGAGTGCCCCACTGCTGTCCTCACTGGAGGGTGATCCAGAAATGGAGTTTTTGGGCAGATAGCATGCAGATCCAATAGCTGCAGAGAGACCCTGGCTGTATGAGGAACAGGGAACTGTGCTGGCATAGACCTGCTACAGAGATTTAACAGCGAGCATGTGACAGGGGTAGTTAAAATGGGGATACTGATCAGCTTGGCACAGGAGCTGAGGCCTCTCTTCCTGAAGAAGAGCTGCTAAGAGTTGTGCCTGGGAATTGGGAGGGTGGGAAGGCCTTTTTGAACGATTCATGCAGCCCAGGTGGGGCCTGGCATTGGAAGCAGATCCTCCAGTGGGTGAGCAGTGATCCTCACACCAGCCTGATGAGGGGTAGCAAAAATGGCATCAGATGGGAAAGACAGGAGTGGCTGTGCCTGGACAGGAGTACCTGGCAATACGTGTCTGTGTTGCATGTGGTTGAGGGCAGCCAGGTTGAGAGCAACTGGCATGGACTGGAAGTGGCATGGGCTGGAAGTCCCCCACATGCACACATAAACACTTCACCTACCCCCGCGAATGGAAAAGGGCACTATGACTGACGGGGGAGGCACAAGGGCAACCCGCTTTAAATCTGACTAGCACAGAGAAGGATCGGGAGGGGGGTTATCCAGCAAGGTGGCGGGCGGGCAGTCTGTGTACCTGGGCGGGAGCGGGGCTGTGGGGTGTTCCTGGGGGGAGAGCGCGGGGCAGTCGCGCCAGGGGAGGACTAAGGACGGGGCCAGTGCCTCAGGAGCTGCCACATGGGGGCGTCTCTCACCGTCCCCTCGAGGCGGTGCTGCCCGGCCGACCTGCCTGCCTCGCCACCGCCCTGTTGCTGCTGCTGCTCCAGCCTGCGGCAGGTGCTTGCCGCGGCGTCCCCGTTGCCCAGGGCTACCAGGGAGCGTCACTCGGCTGGATGGCGGGCACGAGCAGGCAGCGTCGCGCAATTACCGAGCTTGTTGTCGGGAGGAAAAAAGAGCGAGCGAGCGAGCGAAACCGCAATACGCCCAAGCCTCGATCTCACCACGAATAAACTGCCAGATTGGCAGAAACTTTTCTCCACAAGAACGGCAGATGTGTGTACATATGCAAACAATATATACGTAGTAAAACTATTTTATATTTTGAAAGCGAGTGGGGCATAACGATTAAAGTACTGGAGTGAGGGTCGAGACCCGGGTTCTAGCCCCCATTTGGCCATGAAGCTCATTGGGTGACTTTGGGCCAGTCACTCACTGTAAGCCTAACCTACCTCATAGAACTGCTGTGAAAATAAAAGGGAGGAGAGGATAGTGTGTGCAGCTTTGGGTCCCTTACAAGAGAAAAAAGGTGGAATATGCATATAAATGAGTAAGTGCTTAAGTATCTTTCAGGGTATTACTGGACTCTGTTCTCTCCCCACCCCCTTTAGACATGGTCCTGTGACACCTGAATGCAGCCTTTGCCATCCCGTTGCCGTTTGGACTTCAAATCTCAGCCGGTGTGCTCGTCTGAGGCATGTTGGGGTTTGTAATGCAACACATCTAAGTTGATGAAAGCAGCTTTAGAGACTAAGCCATTTATTAGACATAAACTTACATCCAGGGTATCATTTCTTCTTTAGGGTGGGCTGGAGAACTAGGCAATTGCCTGAATGGTATTAAAGTGTAGCCTCGGATTGTAGCTTGGGTTGCCCATCTTTCCCATCCGCGAGACTGCAAGCAGCAAAGATCCCATCAATGCAGGTTTTTTACTACACTGTGCGGGAAGAGGATTTTTTCTGTCTGAACGTGTAAAGAACTGCACCTTAAAACCTCGAATTTGTCAGGAATGAGACGTAATGGCCGCTTCCCTGAGCGAGAAGTCTACCCAGAAGCTGAGGTCTTTAAGCCATTTTACCCTGCAATCCAGAAAAGACACTCCGGACTTTTAATTCGGTAGCACAGGAAGAGTTCCGGTGAAGTCGGAAATGTGCAGGCTGCAGAAAGAAGAGGAAGGAGAAGATCGGCAAGCTCACGTGGGACACGCGAGGCCGGAAGTGGCTGAGCACCGCGTGGCTGCAGTGAGGGGAGCCTGTCGGCGTCGCTCCCAGCCAGCATGGGAAGGCCGAGCAAAGTGAGGAAGCGGGAATAGGGAACGAGATTGGGGCGCATCTGAAATTTAAGGGACCTCCATTCCTGGGGAGCCATTTTCTAGCTTGCTAAAAACGATTTGGGTTGCGGAACCAGGTGCAGCAAGAGTTGTTCCTTCTACCTCTGAGAATAATGCAAGATTGCATGTTGGAGGAAAATTCTTTTTTCATCCTCAAATGTAATCTGTCAGGCCAGATTATGATGTAGCTCTGTCGCCTTTGTAAATTCCTAAAATAATTTGCCGACTCTCACGATAACACCTGTTTTCAGCCAGCACCGTTTATTCTGTAACTTTTCTGGCCTCCTTGAATTCTGAATGGATTGCAGATAATGTTTGTAAAACAGTCTGTGTATCGCTCTGTTTTGAAATCAATGAGATTCTTGGCTGTCGTGACTGCTGCAGGAGTGGGTATTCTAGTTCTAATTCCATAATTGTATGTTCAAATAGGTAGATGGTTTTTTTTTTTAATCATCTCTTACCTAAGCATCAGTGGACACATTTTAGGCATCAGTTGGGAGGAGAGTTGCTTTATGAGGAATTTCCTTGAATTATGTAGGGAGAATAGGCAGCAGTGGGATACTGGATTTGGGAGAAGGTACTTTGCTTTCTTATCTCCCCCCCGCCCCTCCCCCACACACACTCATGCCATTCATCATACAATTTATTTCTTCCTGACAGACTAAGAACCAGAAGAAGCTTCGGGGAATTGCCCAGCATCGGTCTCAGGAAGAGTATGGGTCTGTGCCTCACTCCTTTGTGTTTCACCGAGGTCGTGTTGGCAAGAATGTGCAGCAACTTATTTTGGATGTTCGGCGTGTGATGGAACCCTACACTGCTACTAGCCTCAAGGTGAGGCTATTGAGTGCCATGGCATTCTACTGCAGCTAACAGCAGTAGTATTACAAAGGGAAAAGATATAAACGCAGGGCAAACCAGTCATTAGAAATAAATGTTTAGAAGTCATAACTTTGGTGGATTTCCTCAGTCTTCTGCAAGTGATCCAAGGATTTAGGACAGGAAGGAGATCAGGGAGCCTAATTCTGAGAGGAATGTGAGCTAATGGGCTGCATACCAGGTTGGGGAATTAACCACTGTTTTATTTCTCAGTCATTACATGGTAGTGGAGCTCTAGCTGTTTAAAAGTGATCTTGGACCATTTATGTGCAGCGCTAAAGACAGATTACTATAGTTGGCAATATCTCTTCCTTTCTCATTTGCACACCCCTGCCCAGCTCTGAAACTGCAGGCATTTAGAAGTATTGGCACTAAATAAATTCTACAGCAAAATAAAAAGCTGCTTATTGTCAGGAAAATCAACATGTGTCAGTTATGCAAGTCTGTTATTGTACAAGAGTTCTGCACCAACAGAAGTGCACTGTGAGTTGTGAGGACCTGCAAGAGGGCAGGTAGGAGAACATGGCTGGAGACTCTGAGAAAGAGACATTGAGACTCATCACGGTGCTTTTCCAAATGCTGACATTTTTTTTTAAAGCTGATCTTTAAAACCCAGGTTCAACACCAAAGCAATTTGCTTTTGTCTCATTAATAAGAATTGAAATGGAAGTTTCTGTCTTCTAGATTTTGTTCCATGGGTGTCAAAGACTACAGAGTTCCCTGATCACAAGTCTGTCTTTTTCAGGTGAGGAAGAAGAACTCTCTGAAAGATTTTGTGGCAGTAGCTGGTCCCTTGGGTGTGACGCATTTCCTAGTGTTCACAAAAACCTCCACCAGTATTAATCTTGTAAGTGATGACATATTTCTGGTCTAGTGGCCCCAAGATGGTCTGTCTAACAATCCTGGTGTTCTCTATTAGAATGATCCAGCTCTGTTGTTCCAACTTTTGTTCCAATGCCTCTGGGCCCGCCTGCAGCTGAATTCCTTTCTCGATAGCTCAATCCATGTTTCCAAAAGTTCTGTCTTTCCAGTGACTCCTATTTTCATATGGATATCAATGAAGAACACTTGTCTTACCACCATAAGCTGCTGCTCGACCGCTGCATGCCTTCAGGGAGCAGGTTCTGATCTAAGGCATAGCACTGACCAAGCCTAACATACGGCCTTTGCTGTGCTTCTCCACCACTGCTGATTCCTCCCGGCAGTGCGTAGCCATAGTGCTACGCACCAAAGCCATCTTTTAAGGAAAGCTGCTCTGCTGCTAATTTTTCACTGGGGAAGTCCTGATGAGCATCGAGTGGTGACCAATCAAGAAAGCCCATCTTGCTGTGGTGGCAGGGTGGTAAAAATATTTATTAAAACATTAACCTAGTGTGTGGTATTTGTGAGAAAGTCAGACTTCATGGGATGGGTGATCAAAAATAATACTGCCAATATAATGCCTTTATTCAAATCTAGTGTGAGCAGAACTGCAGTTCTGTGTACAACTTTGGTCAGCAGGCTATTGAGCTGTAAAGCATGTAGGAAAAGGCAGGAGTTGGAACTGCTCCCCTATGAAGAAAGGTGGGGCCCCTTTGCTTAGAAAAAGTGTGAATACACTTGGACATGACAGATGTACAGGATTATGCATGTTGTAGTAATGCTAGAATAGTCAACCAGTGAACCTACTGGTTGGAAAATCAGGACTGAGAAAAGGGAGTACTTCTTCCATAAGGCCAAGTTAAGCTGTGGCACACCCTGCCACAAGTGGTATTGATTGCCATTGACTTGGATGGCTTCAAGAGGGCATAAAACAAATTGATGGAGGAGAAGCCTGCCAGTAGCTACAAGTCATTATAGCAATCTGCTGCCTCCTCAGCACCACAACTGTGGCATCTGCTTGGTGACTGGGAACAGAATGCTGGATTAGATGGGCCTTTGGTCCACCCAGCATGGCTCTTACGTTCTTAGCATTTTCTTTCTCCAGAGCACAGTCTGAACTCTACTGCTGTAGATGAGTGTGCATGTGTTCGGAATGCTGTGGTTCCATTTCTTCCCTGAACACATACCATTCTCTTTGTTTTCCCAACTGCCTTGCCCTATAGTTCTGCCTGATGACCTGATGCAAATGATGAAAATGTGCTTTTGCTGAGTGAATCCTGTGATTTTCACTTCAAAGTAAACGCACTGATGCATCTGGATGCAATTGTGCAGCATGTTAAAAGTGTGATATAAATTACAGTGGGCAGTCTGCTTGTGGTAGGACCTGTTCTGAACCGCTGAGCTTTATTGTATTATTTCTCCTGGCTTCTTACTGCTGACTTTTCTCTCTTTTAGAAATTCTTCCGACTCCCTGGTGGACCAACCTTGACCTTCAAAGTCACTCAGGTACCAAATGGGATGCTGTTGACTGCAGTGAGTTCGGCTGGATGAGGCTGGAGCTTCCTCTGAAAGGCCTGCTTGTAGTTTGTTGAAGGCAGAAAGGGCTCTGTCTGGTTTTCATGACGTTCTTTCTGATGTGCTTTATACAGATCGCTGATGCTTTGCCCATTGTGTGCTCCCTTCATGGGTGCAGATGTCTTTCTCTTGTTTGTTTAGTGCAAGGGTCCTCAAACTTTTTCAACAGGGGGCCAGCTGAAGGGTGACGGCAACTGGCGCGGGCCGGTGAGGCGGGGGTGCCTGGGTGCGCAGGCCGGTGAGGTGGCGTCGTCGGGCACGCGCGGCAGCGGCTCGCTCGGAGATCTCCCAGCGAGTCCAAAACCATCTCTGAGCGAGCAAGCCACCGCCTCCCCACCCATGTGGCAAGCACTGGTGGTGGACGGCGGTGCGGGCCGGATAAATGGGCATGGCAGGCTGGACCCGTCCTGCAGGCCGTAGTTTGAGGACCATGGTTTAGTGCAATCTTAATTCCACCAAGGAAACCTGAATTCTGTTATCTGTATAAGCAATTCAAATTGGACCAATACTAAACTTCTCTATTTTTGCATAACATTCTGGCTTTTCAGGATTTTCAGTGTTTCTACAGCTGGGTACTGGCAAAAACAGAAAAAACACCTTGGGGACCACTGAGGCAGAAACAAAAAGCACAATAATATAGTATTTTGTGTATTAGTATCTAAACAATATCAAAAAATTGAAAATTCTCCAAAACAGCTAGAAATCGTGCAATAAACATGCCAACAAAAGAACAAAATACTGAAATTGGTGCAACATGGCTCCCAGCCAGCTCTCACTGAGTCGTCTCTCCCCTCCCTGCCCCTGCCCCCTCCCCCGCAGCAGCACCAGCACCCCCCATGCCAATCAAGGAAAGGTGGTGGAGCACAGCCAGCCCCTGCACTGTCCACAGTGAGCGGGATGTGCCCCCCCACCATGGACTGCAGAAATCTCGCACAGAGTGGCACCGGTCCATGAACTGGTGGTTGAAAACCACTGCTATAGATCACAGGGCATCTTATTCAGCAGCACTCTTGGATCTGAAATTTAAGAGGGAATATTCTATATATTTTAAAGCATAACTTTGCTGCTATGGGGACTAGAAATAGGGAGTTCTAAAAACAGAAATAAAAAGCTCACTTTAAGGAAGCTTAAACCCAGTACTCCATTTTTGGCCTTTTTCTGCATTTTGGCATCCATAGAGGCATGAGTCTGCCCTCTGAAAAGGCCTCCTGGGTTTGAGGTTTTATAGGTGCATGGTGTGCCCCTTGCCTTCTGCTGGGCCTTCACTCTTCTGTTTTGTTCTTTCACTTCAGTATTCGCTCATCAAAGACATTGTGTCATCCTTGAAGCGCCACCGGATGCACGAGCAGCAGTTCACCTACCACCCGCTCCTGGTGCTCAATAACTTCGGCATTCAGGGCATGCACATTAAGGTCATGGCCAGCATGTTCCAAAACATGTTTCCATCCATCAATGTTCACCGGGTGAGTGTCGCTTCGGGGGATTGATGGTCACGTTCTGCTGCTCAGGTGCCTCTGGGCCTGAGTGCTGCAGCCCATGGAGGCCAGCTTCTCACAAAAGCATGCCCTTATTTATCGCATTTGCATCCTACCCTTCATCGGAGGAACTCAGGGCAGCATACCTCGGGGTTTGTCCGCACCCAGTGGCCACCCCTGCTCCTTTCCAGCAAGCTGGAGCAAGAATGGGGGTCAGCAGGGGAATCTGCTGAGGCATGCAGCCTGCCACCAGGCACCAGGGCCCAGCTGATTTCCCCCCCTCCATGCCTGCAAGAATGGTGGCAGAGGGGGAATCTGCTGGGCAGCACTATTTTTTTGCACAGCATTCCCTAGCTGCCTTCCCCCTCTGGAGCCTGCTCATTTCCTCCACTGTGCTTCAAAGCACGAGCCTCAGTTAGCCTGATCCCCTGTAAAATCTGCAGACCGTGGTAGCCCTGCAGGGCTGCTTGTCTTGATGCGTGAACCCAGCCAGGGTGTCTGTTGCTCTCTGCTTCCAGGTGAACCTCAATGCTATCAAGCGTTGCGTCCTGATCAACTACAATGCAGACGCTCAGGTCCTTGAATTCCGTCACTAGTAAGTGTCACCCAGTTTATGCCGTGGCCCCTGCAGCATTGGTGGGTTGAAGGTGGACCCCCAGTAGAGTGCCTGTGAAAGACGCACAGCATACCAAGTTGGCCTCCCATTAGGCAGAGTCAAGCAACCACAGCAAATGCCTGTTTCTCCTGAACTCCCCAGCCATGACAAAGCGCATTACCTATCGCCAGTATTAACAAACTGCTGCCAGTCCCATTGGGTTCATGGCATGTGAGAAGACGGGCTTATCTGTGGCCTCAGGCAAGAAGATGTCTTCGGGTGGTCTTGATGCACGTGTGTGCGTGAATGTGCACACACACTCTGTGGATCTCTAAAGACACTTTTGGAAGAGCTGTATACCTTTGCTTCTGTGCCAGCAGTTAATGGTAGGCATGCTGACTTGCATTACACGATCTTCAGTGAGTGCTTTTATGCCCGTCAGACCGCTCACTGTTTTCCAGTGCACCGTTTTTCTGGGAAGGAATGCATTCATGCATTTGGTTTTGCATTTTGTGGTAAAGATGACATGCATGTTGTCTACTTGAGGACTATCCCATTTTATCCTTGCAAGAGTCTCAGTTTGAACCTTGGCCTAAATCCTGCACTATCCGCTATACGGCTTTGTCATTGGCACATTGACGGGGTGCCCTTGTGCTCATGGATGCACGTGATGAGAGTATAGTCTGCTGATGTCTCTGATCTTACTTGAAGTAAACGCTCTGATGCATCCAGGCTGGACTGAAATAAGAGCAGGGTGGGGGTGATTCCCTGGCAGACCAGTGGGCTGTGGGTGCCTCCAACGCCCTGTTCAGATTCTCTTCTCCCCTGGCCCCACCTGGATCACCAGCATTTCTTGAAGGTGTTCCACGCCTTTGGCTGATAGGCCAAATTTATTTCAGGAGACATTAGAATAGGATGGCCCCTTTCCTCCTAAGGTGCAAGCACATCTTGAGTATTGTCTACACCAGGCTTTCCCAAACTGAAGCAGAGGGGAATATGGGTTTTGTAATCCAGCACATCTTGGGGCGGGGGGAACCAGTTTGGGGGAGGCTGCTCTGCTCCAGCTCACAGTGGCTGTTCAAAGCCTCAGGCAGAAGGGTATCTTTCCAGGGCTGCCAGCAACAGCCTTTAGGTGGGGTGCCAGTGGCTGAATTCATGACCTGGTACATGCCCTGCAGCCACATCCCCTCCCCTGAAAATGGTTGTAGTGACCTGTTCCTGTCTGCCTGACAGACTCCCACATGCACCTCTGTGGTCTTCTGTTTTCTTGCAGCAGCCTGAAAGTGGTGCCAGTGGGAATGAGCAAAGGGCTGAAGAAACTGCTGCAGGAGAAGTTTCCCAATATGAGCCGCCTGGAGGACATCAGTGAACTGTTGGCCAGGTGAGAGGCAGGCAGATTCCACCGCTCAGCTCATAACAGGTTTCCTCAATCTGGCGTGTTGCAGATGTTTTGGACTTGCCACTCCCATCAGCCCCAGTTAAGGATCCTGGGAATTGTCCAATACATCTGGAGAGCATCTGCATAGGGAAGGTTGATCCAGAGTGCAGGGCAGGTAGTTCTGAAAAGGAAGCCAGTGCAGTGTTGTGGTTAAGAGCAGAGACCTGGGACTCAGGCGATTTGGGTTCTAGTCTCTGCTCAACCTTGGAGCTCAATGGGGCCAGGTTGCAGACTCTCAGCCCAACCTATCTCACAAGGTGGTTGTGATGAGAAGCTAAGAGAGGAGGAGGAAAATTATTTAAGCCACCTTGAGTTCCTTCAAAGGGAAAACGGGCAGTGTAAGAAGCAGAGACTTTGTAGCCTCTTTGTGATAAGGTGGGATGGAAGAAGGAGGCCTTGTACCCTGCCTCATGATCATAACAGTCCTCCTTTCTGACCTTTCCCATGGCTTGTTTTGGCTTCTCTTACTCTGGTCAAGCGGCAATTGTGCTTCACATGCCTCTGCCCCTTTTGTTTACACTTTCTGCCTCGCCTCTATTCCTCCCCCTTTCCTTTCTTACCATTCTGATTCCATCCCAGGGTTTGTCTTGCTTGGAATGTCTTGCTGAGGGGCAGGGCCTGGGCTTTGTGCTTCGGTTCATGTGTGTTGCCTGGTTCTAAGCACGCTAGAGGAGAGGAGGAGGAGGATGACAATGACAGTGATGGTGCTCTGTCTTGTTCCCTTCCCTGCTGTGGCACGCAGAGACATTAACCTCTCCGAGAGTGAAGCCGAGCAGGACGGCAGTCACAACATCACGGAGCTGCCTCAGGCCTACGCTGGCCGTGGGAACATGAAGGCCCAGCAGAGTGCAGTCCGGCTTACTGAGGTCAGCCATGGGGCCCTGTGCATGAAATGGGGGGATGGGGAAGAGCGCATAGGGCTGGCCCACTGCATCTGGAGGCAGCTGTGATCTTCAAAATTAAATGTTCCAGAATTGGGAAACTCCCCAGCTCAAGCAGCTTTACTTAGGGCCTAGGGTCCTCTGTCTCTTCTCTCTCCAGATTGGCCCTCGAATGACACTGCAGCTCATCAAGGTGGAGGAAGGTCTCGGCCAGGGCAACGTGCTGTATCACAGCTTCAGTGAGTATCTTGGCTGTCCAGCAGAAATGCCTTCCAGGGAGGAGCCCAGGCCTGGACTTGACTGTAGGACCCCTGTTGCTGAGAGCAGCCCTAAGTGCGAAGCCTGCCCTGCTGTCAGAGCATGAGGTTGAAACAGTCAAAACAAGCAAGGGAACAGAACACTTTCTTCCAGTGGGTGGCTGTGTCAGTCTGTTGTAGACAAATAATCTTAAAAGAGCAGTGTCTTTATTCTGGCATGAGGTTTTGTGGACTGAAGCCCATTGCAGCAGTCGCATGGCTTGTTAGGGAGAGTTTTGGGTGTGTACATACTGAGGAAGAGGAAGAATGGTAAATTGTGAGCTTAGAAAGAAGTTAACTGGAGGCAGTGGCTCTCAGCTGCTTGACAGTGGTTGTTCACAGTATGGTTACCACTTAATAACACAAACATCAGAGAAGGAGGTTGGCAGCCTCACAAACTTCACTCTCTCTCCTCTGTTTAGAGCTCGTAGAAACCTTGTACCTAGACTTGTAAGTGGAGAGAACAGGGCTGCACTTTAGGAAAGGGCCATCACTCAATGGGAGTGCACCTGCTTTGCATGCAGGTACTCTCCAGTTTTGAAGCTCAAAAGCTTTGGCCACCTAATGCGAAGGAAGGACTCATTGGAAAAGACCCTGATGCTGGGAACGATTGAAGGCAAAAGGAGAAGGGGACAGCAGAAGTTGAGGTGGCTGGATGGGGTCACTGGGGAGGTGGGTGTGGGGTTGGGTGGACTCCAGGTAGTGGTACAGGACAGGAGAACATGGAGAAATGTTGTCCATGGGGTCACAAAGAGTTGGACAGGACTTTGCGACTAAACAAGCCTTCAGTTCAACCCCTGGCAGATACCTCCAGGCAGGGCAGAGGAAGGCCCTTGCTTGCCAGTTGGACTGCACAAGTGTGAGCCACATAGCGCAATTGATGCTTTCAGGGACAGGTAGCACCAGGGGCTGCTGTCGCAGTTAAATCTCTCAGTTGCGATTTGAAATAGCTGACAATATTGGTGCAAATAACTGCAGTCTTGCTTCAGGTTAGGCAGTAGGTGGTCTTCTAAACAGTGACTAGGTAGCTTCTGTAGATGAAGCCCACAAAAGGAAAGTTGGTACTAGAAGATTGGGAAATGGTTGCAGCCCTCCCGTTGAGCTGAATCACAGTAAACGCACCCTGCAATTCAGGCTGTTCCTTGACTGGGGGAGTTGCGAGGGCAGCAGGTCTTCTCTTCTACCAGCCCGCCTCTCCCTGCTCATTTATTTATTTATTTGGAGAACTTATATGCCGCCCCATTTGCATAAGCCTTGGGGCGGCTTCCAATCCATAAATAAATACAATCTATACAAATACGTAAAATATTGGAGACATCCTGGCAAAAATTGTTAAAATCAATAAATAAAATCAACAATTAAAATAACGTTTAAATAAAAAGGTCTTGGCCTGGTGCCGAAAAGCAAATAACGACGGTGCCAGGCGGACCTCTCTGGGGAGTGCGTTCCATAAGTTGGGCGCCACCACAGAGAAAGCCCTCCTCCGGGTACTCACCCTCCTAATCTCTTTCACGGAGGGCTCCCGGAGAAGGGCCTCTACCGCTGATCTCAAGGGGTGGAACGGCACATATGGACGTAAACGCTCCTTTAGGTAACCAGGTCCCAAGCCATTAAGGGCTTTGTAAGTGATAACCAGCACCTTGAATTGGGCCCGGACCTCAATGGGGAGCCAGTGAAGCTGACTGAGGACGGGAGTCATGTGAGCACAATGCCCAGTCCCCGTCAGCAACCTGGCAGCTTTATTTTGCACTATCTGAAGTATCCGGACCGTCTTCAAGGGCAGCCCCACATAAAGCGCGTTACAGAAGTCTAATCAGGAAGTAACCAATGCGTGTGTGTCTGTCGCCAGGCGATCGTTCTCCAGGTAGGGACACCGCTGATGGATCAGCCGAAGCTGAAGGAAAGCGCTCCTCGCCACCGATGTTACTTGAGCTTCCAGTGATAGCTCAAGGTCGAGGAGCACTCCCAAGCTGTGGACCCTGTTCTTAAGAGTGGAGTGCAACCCCATTCAGGACAAGGTCACAGTCCCCCACCCCAAAGCCCAACCCGCCTACCAACAGGACCTCCGTCTTGTCTGAATTGAGCTTCAGTTTATTGGCCCTCATCCAGCCCATTACCTCAGCCAGGCACCGGTTCAGTACAGCTACTGCCCCACCTGGATTGGTTGAAAAAGAGAGGTAGAGCTGGGTATCATCAGCATACTGATGATTCCGCAGCCCACACCTCCTAATGACCTCTCCCAGCAGTTTCATGTAGATGTTAAATAGTAGAGGGGACAAAATGGATCCTTGCGGTACTCCATGGCATAGCTGCCATGGCGCAGAGCCATAGTCCCCCAGCACCACCACCTGGAATCAGCCATTGAGATAGGAGCGGAATCACTGCCAAGCAGTGCCTCCAACTCCCAATCCCACTAGCCTTTCCAGAAGGATACCATGGTCAAAAGCTGCTGAGAGGTCCAGGAGGACCAACAGGGATGCACTCCCCCAGTCTCTCTCCCTGCACAGGTCATCGTACAGGGTGACCAAGGCAGATTCAGTACCGTACCCGGGTCTGAAGCCGGACTGAAATGGGTCCAGATAATCAGTCTCATCCAAGAGTACTTGGAGTCGTCCTGCCACCACCCGCTCTAACACCTTGCCCAGAAACGGGATGTTGGCCACTGGTCTATAACTGGGGGCCATCTCTGGATCCAGGGATGCCTTCTTTAGGACTGGCCGGACTACCGCCTCCTTTAAAGGGGCGGGTACCCGGCCATCCCTCAGAGGCGTTGACAACCTCCAGGATCCAGGTCCCTATCCCGTGCTTGGCTTTGTTAAGTAGCCAAGATGGGCAAGGGTCCAATAAGCAGGTGGTGGGACATACTTGTCCAAGCACCTTGTCCACATCATCAGGCCGCAATAACTGAAATTCATCCATCAATTTTGGACCAGACGGCAACATTGGCACCTCCCCTGAAGGCTCTGAGTTGCTAGTGGAATCCAGCTCGTGATGAATCTGAGCGAATTTTAAAATTTTAAAATGCTTGGCAAAGTTGTCACAGCAGGCCGTCGAGGACGGTACAGGGTCTTTCTTAGGGCCAGGATGAACCAGCCCTTGTACCACCCGAAAGAGCTCCGCTGGATAGCATTGTGAGGAGGCAATGGAAGCGGAGAAGAATTTCTTTTTCGCCGCCCTCACTGCCACAGAATAGGCTCGATAATGAGCTCTCAAGTGTGTTCGGTCAGATTCATCCCGTGATTTCCTCCACCTACGCTCTAGACGTCTCCCAACCCGCTTCATCGCCCATAATTCAGGTGTGTACCAGGGGGATGAACGCGCTCTGCCCGGCAGGAGATGACACTTAGGAGCGATCGTGTCAATAGCCCTGGTCATTTCTCCATTCCATAGTTTGACCAGAACATTGACAGGAGCACCAGCCTTATCAACCGGAAATTCCCCCAGGGCCTTTAGGAATCCATCCAGCTCTGGGAGCGGACCAACACAATCTGATCTGCACCCTTACAGAGGGATAAGCCGCTCTCGAGCTCAAACCTTAGGAGGAAGTGATCTGACCAGGACAGGGGAGTCAGACATAAATTCTTCACCCTCGGATCCCCCTCTTCCTGCCCCGTTGAGAAAACCAGGTCCAGAGTGTGTCCATATTCATGGGTCGGGCCAATGACATGTTGAGACAGCCCCATGGAGGCCATGAAGTCCTGAGCAGCCCTGGTCAGAACAGTGTCGGCATGGAGATTGAAGTCCCCCAGGACCAGCATCCTGGGAGTCTTCCAACACCAGGTCCGAGACAATCTCTGTCAGCTCAGGCAGGGAGTCTGTTGGGCAGAAGGGTGCACGGTACACCAACAGAATCCCCAGTCTGTCTCGGTCGCCCAACAACAAGTAGAGGCACTCTAGACCTGGCCTCGAGAGGACAGGAAGCCCCGTGAGGGAGATGGAAGCTTGGTAAACTAATGTGACCCCCCTCCCCTCCAGGCATAGTCGGTGCTGGACCAGATACCCGGGCGGGCACAGTTGAGAGAGGGAGACATCCCCCCCCCCACCCAGGTCTCTGTTATGCAAGCCAGGTCGGCCCCCTCATCCACAAACCTGCAGTTTCAGCCCCCTGCTTGTCTGAGCCAGAATCGAATCCCATGGCTTCTTGCGCACTGCTGTGGAGCTGCTGGCTTTGACACTGAGAGAGGGCTACCTCTGTTCCAGCCCTTCCTTCAGCCGTGCCACTGGGCTCCCAGAAATGACTGCACAGCAGGGGCAGGGGCATAAATCTTTGCTTGGATTTTTCTGATATTTGCCCTGTGGGGCTTCACAGCAGTGGCTGCTCATTCCTTTCTTGCTTCTGCCCTCCAGTTCACAAGACTGAGGAGGAGATCCAGCAAGCTCTGGCCAGAAAAGAGGCAAAACTTCAGCTCAAGGCTGAACGGCGCTGCAAGCAGGAGGCAGATGTGCAGCGGAAGCTGGAGCTGAAGCAGGCGCACAGGTGAGGGAGAGACAAGAGGGGCCAGTGCACACAGCCACTGTGGGCTAAATAAGCCACAGGAGCTTTTAAAGCTTTAGCACATCCTCAGCGAGATTTGACTAATTGTTTCCCTGGGTGTGGTTTGTTGTGTTTTCTGGACCTGAGTGGTATGACGTTACTCAAATAACATAGGGGCTGTTTGGCGGCTCCCTAAGCATTGGTTCCCCTTCCAATAAACCATGCTGCCTGTGTTCAGATGACATGACAAACAGCGCAACTGGGGGAACTATGCAAAAATAGCAGTCGCTACTATGATTGGTGGGTTCCCTCCACACCATTGGAACTGCGAAAGGCATGGACTTTTTCTTCTTGTGTAGCCGATGTCACAGATAAGATGCACATATAAAGCAACAATAATGAGGGGCCCAACTCTTGTCCTGATCCCCTATTTTGCATCCAAAATATAGGTGGTATGGCTTTTTTAGCACTGCCGTCATACTGCACTTTTGAGATGCAAATGTAATCTCGCCACAAATGTAGCGGAAGTTACCTGCAGCATTGTTTACACAGTTTCGAGGCAGCTTGGCTTCTGAGAGAAAATACCATGCAACAGTTCCTTGGAAATGTTAAGCAATGACACTTTCACAAGCCACCAGATGTAACTGTATGATGCATAGATCTGACCAAGACAAATGTACCTTGCAATAAAAGAACAATAAATTACAGTTAGGTAATCTTTAGTCTCAAAGTGAAGATAAATTTATACACTTCCATGTGGTACCATGTGGTACCATTTTCATTGTTCTGTCATACTTTGCCGAAAAGTTACGAGGCATCATGATCATCAGACACCTCCCTCCCTTATATTTATTTATTTATTTATTAAAACATTTCTATGCCGCCCCTTGCCAAGGCCTCGGGGCGGCTTACAACATCGAATACCAAATACATTAAAACAATGACAATTATAGACAAATATACTTGCCTGTGTATAAATCTTTATTGTGAAATATCTTGAAAACTTTAGCCAAGCAGCACCTTTATCACCTGTATTCTAATTCATCTAATCAAAATATGTAAGAATTAGCACATTTTATCCCAGAGGCTGATAATTTCCCAAAATTTGTAGACCAGTGTAATATGCTGGGAGCAATACATAGTTTCTTCTATATGGAGGGCTGGACTAAATACTTATGTTAAATGTCCCTGGTTTGGGGGACTATAGGAAGAAGAGCCTGGAGGGAATAAAAAAGAAGCAGCAGCAACAGGCAAAGGAAGGTGACAGTGATGCAGAGGATCCTGGGATGCAGGAGGACCAGAACACTAATGAGCCCTCAGATGATGACATGGAGTATTACCGGCAGGAGGTGGGAGAAGAACCTGATGAAGGTTGGTGCCTGATGGGATCGTGTTTGATTATAAAATGGGAAGGGACTGTGTAATCCCACCACCTGCTGGATGCAGTTGATGAAAATAATTGTTCTCCTGAGCATGAGTTGTGATGCTTCCAAAGTAAACGCTCTGATGCATCCATGTTGGGGCCAGAGGGGGGCGCAGCACATGCTGCCTCCCAGCTTTCACATGGGCCACTAGTCCCGGCTGTGCTGTTTGGTGGGTGACTGCTCAGAAGCAGCAGGGTCTGGGCTTTTCAAAGCTGAGGCCTACTTTTGGGCCCTGTCCCAAACGTTTGACCCCATCTTTCTCCTCTCTTCGGGGTGACCAGATAGGAAGGACGTAAGAGTGGGCTTCTGATTCTTCAGTGGTAGCGCAGTGGAGCAGCTGTTCCTAGCCTTGCAGGACAGAGTTCCTTTTTGCTGCAGGCAGTGCCATGCTGTGTCCTCCATTGGCAGCTGCTCTTCCTGTCCTTCTGAGGGACCAGACCGACGGCTTGAAACCCCATGGGCTTTCCGGAGCACTCTCCTGTGTTGGGCTCACAGTGTCCGTGTTCTTCCCTTCCCTGCTCCAGCTGACTTGTTCTGCCTGCCTGTATCCCACTCTCTCTAGATCTCTTCCCACAAAGTGCAAAGAGGAAAAGAGCACCCAGCCAGTCCAAGTCTGGGAAAAGGCGCAAACGCACCCTCTCTGCAGAGGATCAGAGCCCATCCCTTGGGACCAGCTCCAAGACAGAGCACAGGAAGACCTCATGGCCTGGCCTTCAGCAGCACCACCGGCCAAGGAACGCCACACAGCAACAGAAGGGAGTCCCGAGCCAGCTGCGGAGGGGCCCTCATAACCGCTCCAGGCAGCACAGAGGGCCACACAGTGCCAAGCCGAAGCGCCCCCAGGCCGCAGGGCAGCCCAGAGCTAAGAGGCAGCCTTTCTTGAGACCCGCAGCATCACGCTGGCAGGGCAAATCTGGACTGAGGCAGAAGCAAACGCAGAAGAAAAAAGGAGCCTGCAAGAAGCGGGGGCATTCTGGGAAGAAAAAGCCAGCATAGTGCCCTCGGACTCACTCACTTGGCGCTTGCTGTCTTGGCAGTTTGCGGAATATATTGATTCGCTGAGCTGCCTGCCTTTGTGTCTGGGGGGCAGGGTGGGGGGCTGGTACCTTCCTCTTCATTTAGCAGAGGGCAGCTGACCACCTCGGGCTCGCCAGAGGTGCGTGGCAGCTGGCCAGGCTCGCTGCTGGATAGGGGAAACAGAAAGACCAGCATACAGATGGAACTGTGGGGGGAAACAAAGATGGATTTAGGGGTATTTCACAGAATCTCAGAATAGCAGAGTTTGAAGGGGTCAGAAGGCCATCGGATCCAGCCTCCTGCTATTGTATGGCGCTGTTACACCAGTGCACTCAGGGTGACTATTCAGACATTTTTGAATGCCTCCAGCAAGGGAAAGCCCACAACTTCCCCAAGTAATACTTTCAGTTTTCATACTGTTCTAACAGTGAGCAAATTCTCCCTGGTGTCTAGTCTAAAACCAGTTTCTTTTAGCTTAATGTCTGTAGCTCCATGTCCTGACTTCTGGAATGGACAAGAAGAGATCTTGTCCTTTCCCTCTGTGACAGCCTTTCAGGTCCTGTAGAGGGTTACGGTTGAACATTTGTCAACTGTGTTCAGTGGAATTACTTGTTTTAATATTTTCAGACACAACAGAGAGGCTGGACATGCTCTTTTGAAAGTAGCACTTTTCCTGTGCTAGGGGCACACACTGGGTTCCTGCAGGATTGGTTTGAATCTCATTATGCAAATCTGATGGCAAGATTCCAGGAAGATGTCTGAGTTATATTGAGTTTCTCAATGTAAGGTAAATTTAGCATCCATGCAGGCAAAGGTTGCTTAGGGTCGATGGCATTACAAATTGCCCTTGTTGCAACTATGTGTGGGATTCTGAGAACCTTGACTTTTGAAATACTTTTTAGTGCAGTTCTTTGTGCCTGAAAGAAGCTTTAGAAGGGATTCAAGAAGCTCAGTCCACACATCAAACTAGACCATTCTTGACAGAGCTTGACTTAACAATTGCTAGGCATTTTTAAAATGGTTTACTGTAGAGAATATAAGTAGTCTTTCTGGACAAAAATTACTGCTTTCTCGGGTACATCTCACCTGCTTCTCACGATCTACATATTAAAAATACCACTTTTGTAATTTTGGATTAAGCATCTACTTGTGGAGTCTACTTTGCCCTTTGGATAAAGGGACCCTAAAATAGTTTTTAAAGAACATCCTTTTGGGTGTGCAATGTCTGAGGAGCCGAAGGATAGTAGGGATGCTCCACTGCACAGTTGGAGACAGTGCTGCAGCCTCAGAAGGGTTGTCAGAGGTGGAGAGAACTGCATTCACTGGCTTCTGAGGTTGGAAAATCAACCTCTGAGATGGGAAAAGGGAGCATTCCTGGGGGAGGGGAAGAACGGGAGAAGCCAGGAAATTTGCTATCTTGAGTTGCATCCCACCTGTTAGATATGGGCACCTTTCAGCTTTTCCTTAATTCCTGCTTAGGTAGGAATTAAAGTTCCTCAGGTAGCTGCTGAGTCCAGGCTGGAGAATTTGCTTGAGATAATATTTTAAAAGTTTATTTATTGAGTGGTCCATTTATGTGTATTGTCCTAATTGGAAAGCTATTTACAGAACATTCAAGTTTAGATGGCCCTGTGTCTTCTGTCCTACAGTTCTTAACCTGGAAATTGAAAATATATGGTGGAGTTATCTGTTTATGGTGTTGCAGCTCCCCAGGTGATCAATCCTATACGTTTCATTTTTATTCCTAGCAAAGCAATGTAGCCAAAGGACTGCATCCATTAGGGTTGCAGAGTATAGACAGAGTTTTCCTTAAGTTGGAGATACTGAACAAAAGTACATGTGCTTTGCTGTATGCAAAACATAAGGGGCAAAAATGAGCATGCTCAAGCACCATTGATTTCAATGGAATTGAACATATTTAACTTATTCCTGTAAAACTGAGTGAGGTTTGGCATGTCTAACACTGACTGGATTGTACCTTCACATTTCAGCAAGTTGTATAATTTACATGATTCAAGTAAACTGAGGGTGCCACTCTGTACACCTTTAGACAGGAAAAACTACGACTTGCAGTATTCCCCAACCAGCCCTATTCATTTCAGAATACTGGGAATTGTAGGACTTTTTCTACATAGGCTTGTGCCTTCCGTACTCTTTCCATTATAACTTTTTTCCTGCTTTAAAAAAAAGGATAAAAAATTGCTTCAGCAAAACCCAAGCGGTCAGTAACCATTATTCTGATGTGTTTTGGTGTGCTTTGCAACACGAAGGGGTAGAATATTATAAAAACGCGAGTGGGCAAGCTGAACTTTCCACCCTGCGCTCTGTTCCTGTGCTGCCCTTCCAACGAAGCTGTGGCATGCCAAGGTTGCAGAACGAGACATGGCAAAGGCTCTACAAGCAGCACTGAGTCTGTGGTGTGACCTGACTCCTCTTACCCCCACCCCACCCCACCCCATTCCATTGCACCAGAGCTGATCTCTCTGCTGACTAGATGGAGGATGTGGTCAAGGGCAAAATGTGCTTCCCCTTTTGCTGCAGCAACTGTCTGTGACACCCCAATGCGCACTTCTTACATGCCAGTTGAGTCTGCAGGGACATTGCTTAAGTGCTGGCCGTGGGAGTAGTGCAGGGTGGGGGCGGAAAGGCTCAAAACTAGGTTGCCAACTTTGTCCCTTTGTGGTGGATGTAGTTTGGAGTTTTGGCAGCAGCAGGACAGGAAGCTGCCATCTGCCCTCGCTATTAGCCCCAGGCACCTGCCTCGGGTCCAGGGCTGTGATGATGTGAGGAATGAAGCAGCTAGACGTTCCTTCAGTATGATCAGGTTTTTACTACTCAAGGTAGGTTCTGCAGCAGTTTACTTCCATCTCTGTTTCAATTGAGAGTTCTTCAAGAAAGTTTTAAAGCTGGACTTGCGGTTGCAGATCTTGCTAATAAAATCCTAACTGGTAGCACTTTCACCCCTTAATTGCAGCTGGAGCTCCCCGTTCCTCAATAGGATGTTGGCAGCTCACCTCTGGTCCCGCTCGCCCTCCCTGGGAAGTTCTTTGCTCTTTTTTTCTTCTGATCACGTGGATTGCAATCACCCCTCCCATGGGCTTCACCATGTTTCACCATGGCTGAATAAAGTGCAAGGGCTAAGCACTGACTTCCGAAAAGTCTGAATTTGCACGCTAAGAAGCATAAGAGGTGGTGCAAGCCAGCTTTCCTCCAAGCTTTATTTTTTAACTTCTGAAGTTCCCCACATGGCAGGGCATCGCACTATTTCAGTCCAGTAGGGACTTTGCAGCTGCTACAGCAACAAGAATACTCCACTTTCAGCTCTACGACAAAAGAAGACTTGGACACTGGATGTAAGTACTATGGGGCAACTTTTTTTAGTAGCAAAGTTAGTGCATTGCATTTCTGCATCTGCAATTAAAAGCACCACCCTTCCTTTCCTCCTGGCTACATAAGATGCATGCACATCTTTCTATATCTTGTTCCATCTGTGTGTCTTCTCATGTCAAGCCTGGTATCTGAAGTATGGAGGGGACATCTTTTGCAAAGAGCTCAGGGAGGTAAGGAAGGACTGTAAGGGAATGGCAGAGCTTGTTCCAGTCACCCACACCTGTGTGAGAGCAAGCATGAGGAACATTGTATGTTTGGTGGAAGCCACAGATAAAAGCTGGAAAAAGAGGAAGAGAAGTTATTTACTGTATCCACTGGCCCACTATTTAAACCAAGTTTCACCAGCCTGATGCTCTGGGCATGCTGAAAGTTAAGAACATAAGAAAAGCCATGCTGGATCAGACCAAGGGTCTAGGCCAGGGGTCCTCAAACTTTTCCACCAGGGGGCCAGTTGAAAGATGCCGGTGCTGGCCGCGGGCCGGAAAGGTGGTGCTGGCGGTGCACATGGGCCGGTGAGGGGGCGAAGGGGGGCGTGCGGGCAGGCGCATGTGCTGAGGTGGGGGTGGGGCACGTGGCAAGGCAAGGCAAGGCACGGGCGGGCAGCGGCTTGCTTGCTTGGAGATTGTTTTCTCCGAGCAAACTGCTGCCTCCCTGCGCATGGGGCGAGGTGGGTGGTGGGGGGTGCATGCATGGGCGTAGGCGCGGCGGGTCCAAATGGGCATGGTGGGCCGGATCTGGCCCCCAGGTCTTAGTTTGATGTCCCATGGTCTATGTAGTTCAGCACTCAGTACACATGATGGTAAATCACAGGATCCCATGAGCAGGATGGATGCAAGTCCTCAAACTGCCCAACTCCTCTGCAACTGGTGCATGTGGGCAGGCCACCTCTGGTAAAAGGGGTGAGCACATGGCCCGCAACTGACAGCCTCCTCCCTCATGAATCTGTCCAGTCCCCTTTGAAAGCCACCCATATTGGCTGTCCTCCACTTTCTGTGGTAGCAAATTCCATAGTTTAACTGCATTGTGTGAAGAAGTACTTCCTTGTATCTCGCTTAAAACTCCTATCATCAGCTTCATGGAATGTTTGTTACAGGAGAGGGAGAAAAGTGTCTCCCCGTACTTTCTCCACATTATGCATTATTTTACGCACCTCTGCCATGTCTCCCCTTGTTTGCCCTTTTTCTAAGCAGAATCATACCATGTGCAGCAGCTGCTGCTCCTCGGGGGGCTATTCCAGCCCCCTGATCATTTTTGTTGCCCTTCTCTGACCTTTTGCAAGTAAGGTGATCAGAACTGAACAGACTATTCCAAGTGTGGTAGCAATAAAGTTTTGTATAAGGGAAGTAAGATTTCGGCAGTTCTAATTTCTATTCCATTCCTAATTATGCCTAGCATGGAGTTTTCCTTTTTCAGAGCACTGGGCTGATATTTTCATCTAACTGTCCACTGCTAACCCAGGATCCCTTTCTTGTTTAATCACTGCTAACTCAAGTCCCAGCAATGTATACTTGAAATTGTGTTCAGTTCTGGGCCTCTCATTACAGAAAGATATAGCCAGGTTGGAGTCAGTGCAGCGTAGGGCCACAAGGTTGGTGGCTGGTTTGCAGGGGATGCCGTATGAGGCGAGACTGAGGGAACTGGGTCTCTTCAGCCTGGAGGAAACTGTTAGTGACATAAAGGTACATGATGGGGTGTCACACAGAGGTGGGTAGAGACTGGTTTTCCCCTGCAGAAGAGGGCAGGACAGATCCAAGCTCAGGGAGCCAAGGTTCCATTTGGATGCCAGGAAGCACTTCCTGACAGTTAGGACCCTGGGGGTGTGAAATGGGCTTCCACGGGAGGTGGTTGAGGCCCCATCAGAGAGGGTGTTCAAGGACAGGCTAGACATGCACATGGTAGATGTCATGAGTGGAGCTGGCTAGAGCCAGGGGTCAGACTGGATGGCCCAGGAGGCCCTTCTGATTCACTCTGTTTCTATGTTTCTGTGAAACTGTGCGTTTTTGCTCCAACATGCATTACTCTACACTTGCCTTTTTGGTGCCCATTCTCCCAGCTTGGAGAGATCCCTTTGGAGCTCCTCACAACCCCTTTTGGTTATAATCACCCTAAAAAGTGCAGTGCCATCAGCAAACTTGGTCACTTCACAACTTGCTCCTAATTCCAGATCATTTATGAAACGCACTGGTCCTAATGCCAAACAGTTGAGTCAGAATCAGAGTAGTCTCAAGCATGTTGCACACCACCAGCAACCACAAGGAGAGAGTTATCATTGTGGCCAGAGAGGACGCTGGAACCGCGAGGGTCCCTGTGCCTCCTTGGAGGCCACCCAGTGGCTGTTCCCTGATTCCAACTCAGTGACGATGATGACATAGTAACCCAATGCTTTGCTCCACGCAGTCCTGACAAAGCCTGGGCCCAGGAAGATGAATGGCTAATGGACCCTGATAAGTGGAATTTACCTGTCCTGTGTGCCCTCAATAATCCCTCCAAAGTCCCATGAAAAGTACGCAGTTGATTTTTAAGAGACGTGGAACTACGTACTGTATCCCCCATGCATCACTTGATGTTCCTCTGTCGACCACCGGGCTCAGGCGGCGTTCCTGCCAGCTGGCCACTGTCAGGACCCCTTGAGGCCTCCCTGAGGACATCACCCTTTTACAACCTGCCTTAGCTATCCCCACAATGCAAACAAGCTTATTAGACATTGCTCTCAGTAAGTTAAACTGCACCATTCTCTGCCGGCCAGAACATGCTACAGTTCTTGTTCCCAGAGCCCTTACCTAGTCTTTACTCCAGAGGAAGATAAACTTGCTGCCAGGGTGCCACAATCATTGCCAATACACTGTCCTTGCAAGGGTGCAGCTTATGGGCTACACTGAAAAAATGATGTGGGGAGGATGCTCAGTGCAGAAATCAGACTGGAGCCCGGAGCATCCCTCCTCCAGTTCCCAGCTATCCCCCAAGCCAGGAAGCTGTAGAAAGAATAACACCAGGCCTTAAAGCCCTCTGGGCAAGAAAATAACATTGTGTCCCAATGGTCCTAATAACTATCCCCTACCAAAAAGCCACCAAAAGGGGGCATCCCGTGGAATCCAGGAAAGGACAAGTCCTCACAAGGCACACTGAATCCTAACCACAGTAGAAGTTCAAGGAAACAGCACCTAGATCTGCATCACTCACTGCAAGAGGGCCAGCTGGGCCTGCTGAGCCACAGGGGCACCTGCTAGCAGCTTTGACTGGAAGCAGCCCAAGAAGCTGGACCATTCACCCCTTAGATCACCAGGGCTCGCTTCAAGACTTGCCCCAGGAACAGGCAACTGCATGAGGTAGACAGCACATCCCAAGTCCTTAAGAGAAGTTCGTGAAAATGAAATCTTGAACAGTGCCTGGGAAGAGAAGCTAAACTCCACCCTCTAGCTCAATGAGCTTAACTCATTTTAGCAGTCCAAATGTTCTCACACTTGCAGTATTACTGCTAGTTCCCTGGTTTGTTGGGTTAACCAACACCAGGGGACCAAAAGATTGGCAGGCCCGCTTGTGTCTTAGCTTACTTGTTCCCTGTCATAATACTTCCCTTTCTAAGCCATGCATATTCAAATAACCTGGATGTGCAAGTCCAGTGCATGTCCAGCCTCAACAATCAGAATTACAGTTGGATATGCACCCATGTGCCCCAAATGGTCAAGCAAGGGATCCCATTGATCTCATTTTCACAATCCATATGGCTCAAAACATATGGAACCTCACTTGGGGTTCCCAGGAAAAACACACCAAACTCTACAACTATTTTTTCAGTGACTGAAGTACGAAGGGAGTGGTGCAGAGAGTTTGATAAAAGCAAGGAGCAGAGAATGCATTACTATAAATCCCTCTAAGCAGCTAGGAAACTGGCTTCCAGTGCAGCCTGTTCACCCATATCCCTTGAGAATATAATCAAACTAACAACTCCCATGGATGAGGCAGGGTGCATAGGCAGAGGACTCAACCACACAGTGTGGGGATGCTTCCTTGGTAACAGCAAAAGAAGCTCTTTTCCATAGGTGGCGTGTCCCAAACAAAGAGTGCCAAGCAGGTTTCCCCATCCCTCATGGAGGTCACTGTTTCACCCTGAGTTCAAACAAAGGGTGGGGTCTCTTGATGGGCACCACATGGTTTGTGGCGAAAGAGCTTATAGGGTTCTGCCTGCTGGATGGTGGGGCTCCTGCCACTTGGCGTGGTTGGTGCTTGGAATGCAAACCCTTCACTCAATTTCTCCAGGCAGACCAGGCTAAAGCAAAAGAAATGCTAGCAGGGAATTATGAGGATCACTCACTACAGGAAAGTTCACAGGGTGCAGCAGAGCTGGCTAGCTGCCTGGGGTTTGCACTGGTTGCCCCAGGAGATATGTGATGAGACTGCAGTGGCTCACTGAAGCCGTGGCAGATAAGCAAGAGCAAGTGTTAACTGGGCTGGGGAAAGCCATTGTTAAGATAGCCCAGGCTCAATACATACATGCACACATACATGACCATCTCAGCTGCCAGGCTTTAGATAGCCTCCTAACAGCGAAGGGTGTGTTGGTGCATGTGCAGCAATTACATCTGAGTGCTGCATGCACATGAATTCAATGGATGAAGTAGCTGCTGCACAAGCAAATGATGCCATTGTGCATGCTAAGAAAGCCAGTGATCTTACTCAATGGAAAAATGACATGTCAGATGAATGGTTTGGATGGCTCACCAGCTGAGTCCCAAATGGGGCAGGATGGGTGAAGTGGGCCTTGGTCAGGCTTTCCTTCTTTTGCTGCTGTTGGCTGGGGTCAGATAGTGTGCGGGTGTTTGTCATGCTGCATGAAAAAGGGCAACTAAGTGTGTCTCCATCCAAGAACAAAAGATTCGCATCTTGACAGAAGAGCAAATAGCTCCTGTAGAAGGACAGGTTTGGGTGAACATACACAATGCAGTCAGCGAGTCTGACAGAGTTCGACTCAAGGGGTGCGGGAAGTTGTGGGCAAAGCCTTCGGGCTCTCAGTACAGTGACTGCACGGCACACGCACCCACAGCTTCCATTCGCCCTTGCTGAGGTGGTCGCGCACACTGTCTGCTGACGGGGTTTGGTCCTGCTGTGACTCTCCTCCCGTCCCAAGAATGGCCCATGTGGCCAAGAGATCTGTAGAGATTATGACCTCCCCGTTAACCTGAATGTCTGCTTAGCAGCAGAAGGCTACATCTGTTTTGAGTGGGTAGGCACTATGACGAAAACAGGTCTGGGATGTGGTTTGTGGCTTGTGTTGTAGGAAAGAATGGTGTGCTCTCTCTGTGGGATGCAGCCTGTGACAATGGTCCAAAAGCACACAAGACATGCCGATGCTTGCTTGGCGCAGCGGGGCAGAATCTCAGGCACAGGGACTGCGTGTGACCCTGCTGGGATCACGGTCTGCCCCCGCTCGCGTTTTCCCATATGGCCGTACTTTCTTCCCCAACTGCTGAGTCCTTTGTGGCCTTTTGTCTGCCTTTGCCCCCATCCCAGAAGTTTCAAACGCCTCTCCTATGGCATTAGTGACCACACGGCCCCACACCGCTTAGCGACTGGCAGTAAGAGCATTCAGGTATTTTGGATATTTCGGCTCTGCCCCTTTTGCCTGCAGCCCCACTCACCACTTGAATGTGCTCCCCAAGCTTTTTCAAAAGTGGAATTTGGCCCTCAGGCCAAAAGGGGCTCCATTCCTGTGGTTTAGCCTGTGTTTCATTCTGTCTGTGGGGAGGGGAGCATTTTTTTTCAGGCTCATTTAACATTAATTCTGAAATTAGGCCTTTATGGGAACTTCCTAGCTGTATTGTATCACTGCCAAGTGCCTTTTTTACCAAATAATGTCCTAGATGGTTCTAATCTCATTGTTTTTGCTTCCCCAGGACTGTTCCAATGGGGCAGGAAGGGTCCCCTGTCAGAAACGTCAGCGAAAGCTTGGAAAACATCCAGGCAGCGATATGGTTCCTCCCGATTATTCAGTCTATCCTGGCCATTGCTGGGAATGGCCTTGCCATCTACCGCTTTGTGGTGCGGGAAAGACCCTGGCATACTGGCATCATCTACGCCTTCAATCTGGCCATCAGTGACCTGCTTTATGCTTTTTCCTTGCTGCCCTTGGCGTTCTATCATCACCCACCCAAGGACTGGAAGTTTGGCTTGGTTTTCTGTTTGCTGGACCGGTATCTCTTCTTTTGCAACCTTTATGGCAGCACCTTCTTCGTGGCCTGCATCAGCCTGAATCGCTATGTCGCCATTGTCTACCCCTTCTTTGCCCACGCCCACATCAAACCCCGACATGCCAAGCTTTTTAGTGGGGTGGTGTGGTTGCTGGTGGTGGGCATCTCAGCCCCTGTTTTCCACTTTTCCAGCCTGCGTGAAAAGCAGAAGGGTACAATGGAATGTCTAGGAAGTGCCCGAGATGAAGTCCTATTCCAGTACTTCCCTTACAGCTTGTTTCTCGCAGCTTTTGGGTGTGGGTTGCCGTTCTTCCTGACCAGCTTCTCCTGTGTGGCCATCACCTGCACAGTCGTCCGCAATCCTAACATCAGACCGGAGGAGAAAAGGAAAGTGAAAACACTGGTTTCCATGGTGGTGGTCCTCTATGCAATTTTCTACCTGCCCTTCCATGTCTTACGTAACATGAACCTCAACCGCCGCATGCGGAATCACGATGATAAGACTATCTATGACTTGTACCAGATGGCCAAGATCCTGGTCAACTTTCACATTTGTGTCCATCCAATGTTCTATGCTGCCCTGGCTAACAGCATGCAAGAATACTGTGGCAGATGTTTTCAACAGCAGAGAAGTATGCAAGAAGAGAACGTGGAAGTGAAAATGCGCCTTTCTTCGGACTGCAAGGTCCAGGGCTGAAGTTGTCTTTTGCTCTGGCAGACCTGGCTGTTCACTGACAATCCATCTGCTACTATGTGGTGAGGCTTTGTAATGATGGGAGTTGGGACAGGATATGAGACCTGTGTCTTAAGATGGATGAAAGTTGCTTTCATTTGACTCACACTTAGCTTCTAGCCACTGACAGTTCCTAAGCCCATCTTGGCAACATCACCAAGCTACTCTTTATTCTTTTTGGCACCAGGTGAAAACCTTTCCCTGTATTTCAACTGCTTTTTTTTGTACTTTAGTTTTTATATTATAATCACGTGCTGCTGCTATACCTCTGTGCAGATTTGGTTGCAATCGCTGTGGTTTTATTGTCCTATTGTCTGATGCCTTTTTTGTTGTTTTTTTAACTTTGTTAACTGTCCAGATAGCTTCAACTATTGGGTGGTATAAAATTGAAACAAATAACTAAAACATCAATTATCTCGCATTATCTGTGAGGTATCGACCTGAGAAGTCCTCTGAAGAATGGCAGGGTTGTGACTGCATCACAAGACGTACTCTCGAGACAAAACTCAGATTCTGTTTTGTCTTTTGTTCAGGCGAGACCAGCCCTCGGCACCCCGTATTCCTTAGATGACAGGCTCCCTGTGGTCTGTATGGGTTGGTGTGATGTACAGACTGTTTTAAATTCAAGTTCATGTTGTAATTAGTAAACGTAGAGGAAGCTTTTGTTAGATGCAACGTTGCATGACAAGGCTCCAATTGGTTTTTGAAAATACAAAAGTCCAGGTTTGAGAGAACAGAAAGTTGAAATGGAGAAGAGAAATGGCCAGAAGGGAGCATCTGCTCTTTTCCCTGCCCACCACTTCTTGACGCCAAAACCTCCCTCTATACCAGAGGTGGCCAAACAGAGGCTCACGGGCTGCATGCGGCTCTGTTTTGTGGCTTGCAAAGGGTTCAGAGCATCCCCCCATTCCACCCCCCCCCCGCTACACACAGTCCAGATCTCAGAGATGGCACAGGCATGATTGCAGAAAACTCTCAAGTCCCACCCCACTCAGGAGGGAAGCAGTTTGGACTGGCAGCCTCAAGAGAGCTCAGCACAGCATGCACTGCCTGCTCCTGCTGACAAACACAACGGCGCCCTGGCAGCTCTGCCTCCTCCACTGCTCCCGGTGGCAAAGCCGGTGGTACTGTTGAGAGGTTATTCTGGTGGCATTGCCATTTCGTCGGTGTCTTCAGCAGCAGTCGCCTCAGCTGTGGCCCAAATGTCATGTCCTACCTGGAGGAAGATTCCTCAGATGCTTTCGTATTGTGCTACCGTCCTGAGACTTTTTGATAGGCTGGGATTAAAACAGCTTTTAATAAATGAACACTAATAAATCAATGAAGAGTGCCAGGGCAGTGGCCTCAACCATAATCAGACACAGAGGTTGTGACTGCAGATGACTGCACGCCACTAGAGGAGCCACTGGGCCCCTCCTGGGCAGTCCCTGGGGCTTCTCAAGAGTGGGACCCAGAGGAAGGGGGAATTCATCCCTTAGAAGGAAGGAGGAGTGTGTGGCTTCGACTGAAGTCCAAATGGGGAGTTTTCTGTGAAACAGCACACTGACTTAATTAATGCCCTCTCCTGGCTCAGTATGGGCCACAGATCATCCCCACTGTCTGTGCAAATCACATACATACACAAAACATGCAAGCAATGTCCCCAGCCATATTACACATTATTAACAATATTCACATATTGCTTCTCACTTGGAAGAAGAGCACACGTGCGTGCACGCACATGCACACAAAATCAAACTACAATAATAGGAAACATGATTACTTGAGAGAAGAAATGGTGCAACATAAGAAAGGAAAAAATAAACCCTAGGAATGCTAAGAAAACCTCATCAGCCAGAGCTCGCTCACACCATCAACAACACAAAAGCTAAAGGGAAAAATTCTTCCATGGCAGCAGAAGACCTGCAGAGAACATCCAGGCAGATCTCCCTGTGCAGGAGATTCCAGACTTGGGTGCAGTCATGGAAGAGCAGCATCTGCTTTCTCAAAGTGACAGCTCTGCCGTTGCACGTCCCAGGAGACCCTCCAGCAGGCATTCCTGGCACAGGCGGGTCACCCGTCACTTGTATTCTGAGTAGGCAGGCACCTGCTGCTTAGTCGGAATGAGAGGTGCTGCTCTAAGTTAAGGTTAGGTTTTTTGTGGGTCAGCTGTTGCCACATGAGAGGAGAGGAACCACAAGCGCTTGGTATGATCCTGGACCCTGTGATGCAGCATTGGGAGGGAGGAACGAGCTAGCTAATGGGAGGGGCTGCATGCAGCCAGGGGCTTGCCCAGCTCCAGAAGGGCACTCCCAGATGGGTGGGGGCCAGGGTTACTCAAAAGGAGGGATCCTTGAAAGTAGTTTGTAGTATGGGTTCAACAAACCACTCTGTGCAGGCTCAGAGATGCTTTCTTTGCTGGCTATAGTTTGCTGGATATGCTCTGGAGAATAAAGAGCTTTTGCCAAAGAATGGTTGGTTGTTTTGAAAGAGAGCAGGGTGAAACCTAGTTCCTGACAGTCTTACGAGGGACATGTTAAACACAACTTGGTGAACATGCCAGTAATGCAGCCCATTTGAGGCTTAAAGGATCACCTCACAGAAGCCCCTGCCAGCAAGGCCAGTGGTCAGGAATGTTGGGCGTTGAAGTCCAAAACATCTGGAGAGCTACTGGTGTTGCGCACAAAAGGAGTCCCTCTTGTTTGTTGTCTGATGTCAGAGAGACAGGCAACACCAACAAGTTGTTTTTTAGATATTAAAGGGGTCTTTACTATAGGTGCACACAAACCATGTAGAGCAAGCCCATCTCCTGTTGGGACCGGCCGCCACAGTCATCATGCACAGCAAATTTTATACATTGATTTTTTGTAACAATAAGGAACAGAAAACCTCATAGAAGGAAATGTTAATAAAAGCAGGGCACACCCATTGAAAAGGGCAACCAATCAGCCGGAAACATTCAGTTATGATTCAGTTATCTTGACCTACACTTCCTTTTAGAACAGTTGGTGCCGAAGCATCTGACTTCAGGCTTATCTTTACAAACGTTGACCTTCTTGCCGGAGGTTTATTTTATATATTCAACCCTGTTGTGTGGAGAACCCTATGCAACCTTGCTTTTGGTCAGCAGGAAAAATGTGTGTTCTTCACTGGTGTAGAGAGATCTTTGTGCTATAAGGTAGCATAGACATTACACCTCCCACTGGGAAAAAAAGTCTTCCCTGTGCCAACTCGCTCTCCTCATTGTGTCCCGCTCTCACAAGCTTTGTTGCCGGAAGTTACTAAGGGAGGGTGGCCCAGTCAGCCCTGCAGGACTGGAAAAGCACAGATGCAGTCATTAGGCTGGTAAACTGAGCTGTGCTTGGACGTGAAGGAAGATGCCGAGATCTGCCAAGAGCAAAGAAGCTGTCCACCCGCCGGCATGCAGGGGCCCCGTGACGGCAGCCAAATGACACTCCCAATTCAAACAGCATGGAGGGCGACACAACTCCCAGTGGAAGTGACTCCATGCTTCAGGGCCGCAGGGTTTATGGGGCACTTTCCAGATGGCAGGGGCAGGGCACATCTGGACTAGGACAGAAGGAGACACAGATAGGACAGGGAGCTTTTGGGAGGCTTGGACATTTTAGGAAGAAAAAGCCCGCACTCTCTCACTTGGCCCTTGTATAGTCTCAGCTGTTTGTGGAATGCGTCACGCTCTGGGCTGCCTGCCCCTTTCATGGGGCTCGCACCTTCTCCATTGCTTTGCAGAGCCCGAGTGACCCTGCGTCTCCGTGGGGCTGGCCAGAGGAGCCAGCCAACTTGAACTGATGGCTGGCCAGACTGACTGTGGGAGAGGCAGAAGAAACTGATCGACACGCGCACGGGAAAATGGAAAAAAAAAAAATCAGCTCTAGCAGAACTATGCAGTCTAGGAAAATATAATTCCGTGACCAAAGCTATTAATTCCAACCCCCTGTCTCTTCAAATTACTTGTCAGTTGTGGTCAATGTGAAGGAACAAAACTGTTTGGCCATTTTGCTTTCACTTTTACCTAGAAAATGCTCACTTTAGCGTTTTGTTTAGGTATTGCCAAGTGGTTAAGAGGGTCAGTCCAAGAAACAGGCACAACGAGGCATGGAGGAGCGGAGAGAGAAGGAACCTCCTTATTTTAGTAACTGAAATGTTATGAACTATTACTGTCCTTCTGATTGGTCAAGAGTTTTGGTGTGGGAATTAAAAGAATATATATTAATACATCTAGTAAACAGATGGGAAAGTGGAGACATAAAAAAGAGTTAGAAATCAGACAAAGCATACATGAAAAGGGTGGCAGAGGATCTAGACACAAGGGCAAAATAAGCCAAGCTCAAAGCTGGAAGTGGTACTGCCAGTGGACTAGGGTGAGCAAAGATGACTTCACTGATCAATTGAGGCTTCAGTAGAGAAACAGTTTAGACTAGGCTTAGATGGCTGTGCTTTTCCATGTTACTTCACTGTTGTTATGGTTAACTCTAAAACTGCATTAAACCCTACCTTTTTAGACACTCAGTTATAAAACCTGTTTGATGTTTTTCCAAACCTTTAGTAAAATTTAGATTTGTTGTCTGATACATTGATTTGCAACCCGGTCCAATGTCTGGATTTTCACCTTTTCCCTGATCGCTGCAACACCTGACTCAGTGAGTGAGTTGGTTGCGTCAGTAAGTACGCTACTGAGCCACAGGGAGGTTTTAGTGGAAGCAGCCAGGAAGTGGGAACATCTTTTTTCCCATGGTGGTAGGCGTGAGGACCTTAGGAGAGGCTAGTCGGCCAGTTTGCTCCCCTCCCTGTGGTGCAGACCACAGTCCATGTTGTCGTACTGCTGAGGTGGGATGGACTGAGGACGTCAAGCGTGGAGACAGAGGTAAGTCTTGTGTCCTGGGGTACCAAACCAGGTCGCAAAGAACCATTTTTATTGTCTATAATACATTTGTAATCTCTGAGTTTTTATGACATATTCCTTTGAGGTCCATTCAGCACTACACAGATCATTCCCAGAGTGTAAGGCAGGTGTGGCTGCGAGATAATTTGTGGAGATCATAATCAAATTGCCCATCAGATATCAAGGGGTTGTCCTTAAATGAGTCAAACAGAAGTTATTCTACTGGAAACAGATGCTTGTTGATTTGTACCTCAGTTCCTGCTTTGGCAATGGCTAGGTGCAAGCTGGAGATATATGTTTGAGCAGGAGTTTCAGTGATTGCTGTCCATATTGAGGATGCCTGGCTAGGAACCTGGAGTAAAAGGGCTGGTCCTGGAAGGATCAGGCCCATGGCCACTTAGATGCCCTTGGTTGGAGTGGGCCCATTGTGT